TGCACCTCAGATGGTACATTAATCTCCAGGATATACAAAGAACACCAAAACCTTAAAACCACAAACAAATAAACAACAACAACAACAACAAAAAAAAATCCAAATGACCTAATCAATAGTTGGGCTAAGGAAATGAACAGGCACTTCACAGAAGAAACACGAATGGTTGAAAAATATATGAAAAAATATCCCATATCTCTAGCAATTAGAGAAATGCAAATCAAAACTACACTGAGATTTCATTTCACCCCTATCAGAATGGCAATTACCAGGAATATAAGTAACAATAAATATTGGTGAGGATGTGGGGGAAAAGGTTTACTTACACATTGCTGGTGGGACTGCATATTGGAGTAACCTTTATGGAAAGCAGTATAGAGGATCCTTAGAAGATTTGGAATTGAATGACCATTTGACTCAGTTATCCCCCTCCTCTGTTAATATACCAAATACTTAAAATCAGCATACTACAGTGATGCAGCCACTTCAATGTTTGTGCCAGCTCAATTCATGATAGCAGAGCTATGGAACCAACCTATGGAACCCTACAACAGATGATAAAGAAAATGTGGTTCATATGCACAGTGGAATATTAATCAGCCATAATGAAGAATATCATGTTAAGTGAAATAAGCTAGTCCCCAAAAACCAAAGACAGTGTTCTCTCTGATATGTGGATGCTAACCCACATCATTGGATTAGGCAAAGGGGAATGAAGGGAAGGGACGATGGATGGGACTAGGAAAGACAGTAGAATGAATCAGACATAACTTTCCGATCCTTAATGAATACATGACCAATGTAACTCCACATAATGTACAATAACAATAATAGGATCCTAATTGGAAAAAGTTATACTTATTCTATTGATGTATAATATGTCAAAATACACTCTACTGTCATGTATATCTAGAAAGAACAAACAAATAAATAAATTAAAAAGAAAAGCTGCGATTCTGTGAGCTGCTACATACCACCAGTGGTAGTGAAGAAGAACTGGGCTTTGCCAGCTGCCACACAGGTGGACACTCCTTTGCTGTGATTGGCTGAACAGGAAAAGGGGCTTTTCGGCTGCAGAAGCCTACAGCTTTCACAGGCCCCACCCACCAGTAGAAGCAGAGAATCAAACTCGGGTTTCACTGCTCAGTCCCCACCCACCAGTAGAAGCAGAGAAGTTTCAAACTCGGGTTTCACTGCTCAGTCAGAAGCAACTGTCCTCATAGAATGGCAAAATGACCTATGGGAGACTCGGGGGGGCGGGGGGGGGGCACCTGCTCAGGCTCAACGTCTTGCAGGTTGAGTTTCTGATTTCCAGTATCTTACACATTGTGATGTGTTGTATTTTTATTTTCCTTCAGTTTAACATGATAATTTTCATTGTAATTTCTAGTTTGATGCCTGATTATTTATAAAGGTATTGCTTAAATTCCAGAAATCAAAAATTCGCATCGTTTTTTGAATTTTTTTTTCTTCTTTTCTTATTGAGTCCCACTTTAATTAGAGATCATGCTCTTTAGGCTTTCAGTCTTTGAATGCGAAGAGACTTACTTTAGGATCTATTAAAACATTAAGTTTTATAAGTGATACAGCACTTGAAAAAATACATATTCTGATGTTTTGGGTGTAGTGATCTATGTATATCAATTAGGTCAAGTTTATAAGTCACATTTTCCAAATCTTTTGGATAACTACTGAGAATTTCGACAGCTTGTTATATCATTAATGAGGGACATACGTTAAACTTTTTCCTCTGGCACTGTAGTTTTTAAAATTCATATATTTGGATGCTGGTTGTTGAGCAAATAGACATTTATGATTGTTAGAGCTTCCTGCTGTCTTGACCATATTATCATGAAATGCCCATACTCATCTTTCTCCATAATACTTCTTGCACTGATAACTAATTTTTCTGACATTGATATTGCTATCCAGCTATTATATGGTTTAATATTTTGTTTTCTGTTTTACCTTCTTTTAGACTTAATAAATATTTTGCATTATTCTATTTTCCCCTTAGTTGTCAGTTAAATAATATTTGATTATTCCTTTTCTGATTATCTTAATTATGTCAATATGCAATCTTGATTTACTACCACGAATTATTTATTTTACCACGTCCTGGACAATGGAAGAGCCTACAATTCTTTAATCCTATTTGCTAACTCCCCCCAACCATTTCCCAATTCTCTCTATATTTTAAATTTCATAAGATATTACTATTGCTGGTTTCATAAGACATTACTATTAAAGAGTTAATATGTGCCTAATTTTTCACTTGCATATTTATCCTTTCCAAGAGCACTCTCCATTCCTTTTTGTATCATTGTGTTTTCATCTGGCATTTTTTTCTTTTTACCTGAAGAACTTCTTAATACTTTCTCAATATAGATATGCTTGAAACAATGTATTTCAGTTTTTATTTATTTGAAAACATCTTTATTTTCACCTTCACTTATTAAGGATATTTTTGCTGTGTGTAAAGTTACAGAACTGTAGTTATTTAGAAGATATTAAAGGTGTTATTCCATTGTTTTATTGCTCCCATTGTTTCTCTTGAGAGGTCAGCTTATGATTTTTGTTTTTGTTTTTTTCTGTAGTGCTGGGGATCAAGCCTAGGATCTTGTGCATGCTAGAGAAACATGCTATCACTGAGATGTATCCTCAGTCGGCCAGCTTATGATATGGTATTGAAGTTTGAGTTTTTTTTCCTCTAGCTGCTTTTAAGATTTTTCCTTTTGTTATGTTCAGTATTTTTACTGAATTGTGATTATTCTAAATTTCAAATTTTATAAATTGTGATTTTCTTTGTATTTATTTGATTTGGAGTTAGCAGAGATCTTGGATTAGTGGTTGTTTTATCAAAAATTTTTTGTTTAGAATCTTTTTTTTTTTTTTTGCTTCTCCATTTTCTCAATGTTTTTCATTTTGAAGTTTAATTGTTCCATTTATGGTCTAAGACCTTTTCACATTTCTGTCATGCTTAAACAAAACAAAAACAAAAACCTTTGTCAGTGCTTCAGTTCTATTGTTTATATATTTTTAATGAAAACCTGCAGCAGAAAACTCAAGGTCAACATTAATGAAAAAAAGTTACCTCATTGCTATTTGTACTGGTTATTGAACCTAGAGATGCTTAACTACTGAGCCTCATCCCCAGCCCTTTGTATTTTTGAGACAGAGCCTTGCTAAGTTGCTGAGGCTGGCTTTCAACTCTGGACACTTCTGCCTTAGCCTCCTGAGCTGCAGGGATTGCAGGCATGCACCACCATGCCAGGCCTCTGGTATTAGATTTGTTTGTTCGTTTTGTTTTTTAATACCGGGGATTGAACCCAGGGCAGCTTAATCAACAAGCCACATCCCCAGTCCTTTTTAAAATATTTTATTAGAGACAGGGTCTTACCGAGTTGCTTTAGGGCCTCGCTAAGTTTAGAGGCTGGCTTTGAACTTGTGATCCTTCTATCTCACCCTCCAGAGTTGCTGCTATTAGATTTTTTTTTTTTTTGTGGTGCTGGGGATTGAACCCAGGCCCTTGTGCATGTGAAGCAAACACTGTACCAACTGAGCTATATCTCCATCCCCTTGCTATTAGATTTTTACAGACACTTTTTGTCAAGATTACTAAGACTAATACCTCTATAGCTCTCCAATTCCTTGATGAAGATGATAATCACTGGCAACATTCATTCTCTCTCATTTGGGGATGAATTCAGATTCATTAAAGTGCAAGACATTTAAATCTTGCGGGACACTAAGTAACAGTATCGTGTAAGTAGTCATTATACATTATGAGCAAGCATCTCTCAGGGTATGAAACACATTTATGAGTAGGCTTTTTCTTTGAACACTGATTGGGAGGTGAGCGTATTATTGACTTTTACTGTGGCTAGGGATGCTATGTATTCTGCAATGTAGATGACAATCTTTTACAAGAATAATTAGCCTGGAGTGGTGGTGCATGCCTCTAATGCCAACAACTATGGAGGTTGAGGCAGGAGTATTGCAAGCCAGACTCAGCAATTTAGTGAGGCCCTAAGCAATTTAGCGACACACTGCCTCAAAATAATACATAAAAACTCCTGGGGACGTAGCTCAGTGGTAAAGCACCCCTGGATTCCATCCCCAGTACAAAAAAAAAAAAATCAATAGTTGTAAATAGTTGTATGTCTTACATGACTTTAATCTGTAAGAGGGCCTTCTGAGATACCCCTGTAGGTGATATATCTGCTAATAATAATCTGACCCAATATTCTGATTCCCTTTTACATATTAAAATCTAGGAATTTTGTTCTGTATTGTTTAGATAAAGATTGAATTTCCCATGAATGGTAATAAAGGGAATAGTGTATTTTGTTTTTTGGAACTTTATGGAGGGTTAGTCATAATTCTATAAATTGACATCCAGTACCTTACTCTGCTCTTGGTATTTTTGTTGCTTATACAATTCATATATTGTTTGCAATACACATAGCTTGAATACGTATTTGAAGTGATTCCACAGACAGAAACAAATATCTGGTCACTTCATTGGTCTTCTATGTTTCATAATGAAATAATATTTTTGTTATAAATTACCTTCCCTTCTATATTAAAATCGGAGCATTGCTGTGTATATTGATTTAGTAATTATACTTGTAAGTAGATGCTATTATTTAATAATTGTAACTCGAGATAATTATAATTTCATCTCAGGATTTTTGTTTCAAAAAGAGAGGTCTAAGCCGGGCTTGGTGGCACACATGGCTGGAGGATCTCAAGTTCAAAGCCAGCCTCAGCTACTTAGCGAGGTCCTAAGCAACTTAATATTTGATGTTTGATTTCAACATAAAGATTCCTTTTATTGCAATTATTTACTTTTTATTATTGTTTTAAGAAACTACTACTGTTATACAAAGCGGTTTTAGACTATCAATCAAGCGTGGACTTCCTTATGCCCGGAACCTTGGCGGCCTCGTTCAGAGGTGCACTTAGTAGTCACCGTCTATATCCTAACCGGAACCTTGGCGCTGTGACGTTGGTTTCCGGCGGTCTCTTTAGAAAGCCGAACAGCTTTGGGCCAAAGGACCATGAGAGGGCCGGAGCCGGGTCCCGAAGCTACCATGGAGGGGGACGTGCTAGACACACTGGAGGCTCTGGGGTAAGTGTTCTTGGGACTTTTCCCTCGAAAACGTAACCTTTTCTACCGTTTGGCTGCTGCAGCCTCCTCCCCGTCAATCTCCGCGGAGTCTGCGCGGCCCGGTGCAGGCCGCCTCAGCCTTGCTGCTTCCGGCGCCGACGGAGTTAAGCGGGAGGCGGGAGAGAAATCCGTTTGGAGGGTGGAGCAGGGCCGGAGAGCTGGGGCGCGTGGCCCCCTTTTCCAAACTCTTTGCTTAGAAACTCTGCAGCCGGACCCGGCGGGATGGGCTGGCGTGGAGCCGGCGAGCTACCGCCGGTCTTGCAGGCACTCCGGTGCGGGCAGGTGATGTTTATGTTGACGTTGTTTTCGCGCCCGGGGGCGGTCCTGGAACCCGAACTGGGGCTGTGGACTCGTCTCCTACAGTGTACAACCCGGGACTTACTTGGGGCTCAAGAGTCAATCATTCCTGCATCTTTGACAGGAGAAAGCATTTTGTTTAGTTCAGTTCGAGTCCATGCATTGAACCATTGAATCCGTTCGCTAATACATATTTATGTGCTAGAAAAGGTTTTCGGATTATTATAAACTCACTTAGTCGTGGAAGGTACAAGGAGTCTCTTGCCTGCTGCTATTCACAATTCAGAGTACTTTTATGAGAACTCCCAGGGGTCGAGGTGGCAGTGTTGTTAACAGCTTGCAGGTGTCGGGGTCCTTATACTCCACAACATAACCTACGCTCATTCCGTTTTTCATCACAGCCCTTGCTCCTATCTTGTTTGCCAATTTGTCAGTCTCTTCAACTTCACTCTTGCTTTTTCTCCCTCCTCCCAAATCAGCTCCTGGAAAACTGGTACCTTCCGGGTTTTGTTTACTGCTGCGCTCCCAGCAACATCCCAGATTGGGGTCTGTCACGTGTATGGTGACTGAGTGAATGGGTAAATGAATGAAGACAAGTTCAAAGGAAACTTGCACAGAAGTAAGCATAGGACCAGATTATTTGAGAGTCGAAAAGATTCCTATTAAAAACCTAAAAAGCGTGTAGCAATCTGCATAGTCTTTTGCTGTGCTGCATGCAAGGACTTCTTAATGGGGTGAGCTGTGCCTTCGCAGTACTGTGTAAAACTTGAAACCCTATGTCCTTGATTTTTCTCCCCCAAACTGCATTTGTGCCTCTACCAACTGCTTCTTTAGTTGCACCCAGATAAAACCTACTCTGCTGTGACCCTGCATTAGAGAACTTTATGTTAGTAGCTCTTGAATAAATGTTTGTTTAATGAAGGAACAGTTAGTGATTATTTAAGAGGCATTTGTTTTTGTTTTTACTTATGTGCAATCCCTTGGAAATTGTTCCTTAACTTGATTAAAGAAGTAATGAAGACAAGAAGTTAAAATACTTCAAAGTGTTTAGACTCCAGTTTGATTGCCAAAGTACTCCCAATAAGAACAATGGGATCCTGTAAATCATTTATGAAAAGAGGGAAAACAGTGTTTTTATTCCTTCTTTCATTCCTTGAACTTACTGTTTATATTTTAGTGTTTTGGAAAATGAAGTTTTCTGTAGTCTTGACTTTTATCAAGAAAAATTAGTTTCACATTATTCAGTATGGGAAGTAAAAGAGTTTGCATACTATAAAATTGGTTTTTTTTCTAGAATACCTGAGGAAAAGGGTTTGAAATGCGAATTCCATGATAATGAAATGTGAAAAAATAGTTTTTACAGTATATGTTATAATTTAATACTGTTTTCAAATGTCCATGTAAATAGTGACTAATGTATTTTCTATTGTGGTTTTAGACATTTAGGATACCAGTGAAGGTGCTTTAGTTTGTTGTATAAAGAAATTAATGGGAGGAACTAAAAGGGAATCTGATAAAGAATAATTTAATGTTATAGTATATTATGAATGAAAACGGTTGGAATCACTCAGTTTCCTCATCTCTGAAATGAGTGTGTTGGAGCAGATGATTTCGCAATAGTTCATGATTTTGTGGAACAGTGGATCTCAACCAGTAGGTCTTGTTATACATTAGAGTCATGTATGGAACTGGGAGCAGTGGCACCCTTCTGTAATCTCAGTGACTCTGGAGGCTAAGGTAGGAGGATCATAAATTCAAGGCCAGCTTTAGCAATTAGTGAGACCCTGTCTCAGAAAAAAAAAAAATCATGTATGGAGGTTGTGAAAAATGTTCCCCATTCTGGCAGATACCACAGCTGACTGAATGATCATCTGCAGAGGTGCAGTACAGACTTGAATATTTTTACAAAGCTTCACAGCTTAGATTGAGAGCTACTATTATAGAAGGTAACACAACTGTATGTTGAGCACTGTTCTGAGGTATTGGTGATGAACACAGTAGTCTTGGTTCTTGTCCCTGTTGGGCTTACAGTCAAGGGCAAAAACAGACAGGGTCACACAAATAATCATAAACTGTAACGAGTACTTCAAATGAAAGGAATAGTAATATTTTAGAAAGCTTAGTGGTAGGTTCCTGAGTAATTGACTTTTGGGACAAAATAGGAAGGGAGAATAGAAGTTAAGTACGTGATGGAAAAGGAGGATAAAGGTGTCCTTATAGTGAGAACAAAACATGAAGACCTTGAAGTAGGAAGGAGCATGTTGTATTAGAAGAAAAGGAAGTAACTTCATGTGGTAGGAAGGCAGAGTGCAAGGGACACAGTGGTGGGAGATTGGAAGCAAGAGTCAGGTGAGGACTAGCACATGCAGCAACTTTTTAGGCTTTGTTATAGATTTTATTCTTTAACAGCAATGGAATATGACAGAAGGGTTTTTAAATAAAAAAGGGAGTGATTATATATCTATTTGGAAAGGTACGTCTCTCAGCAAATGAATTGGAGAATTTAGTGGCCTGAGACATTGTTTAGTGGCAGTGAATATGAAAAGAAGTACATTATAAGACTTAGTGAGTAATTGGATATTAGATTTCAGGGATTCATTTCTTTAGTTAATATTAAGCACCAAAGTGAAATGACACTGTAGAATCTAAATTGAATAGGAAATTAAGTGAAGAAAGGAGGGAGCTAGTAAATAGAATGTAGAAGGACCAATGGAATGGAAGTAGTGAGATCAAAGAGTAGTTGTAGGTGAGTAGTCAAAAAGGCAAGCTGGAAGGATAGATGTAGTAGGTTGTGGTGAGGGAGTGATGTGTTTGAATTTGTGATTTGGGAGGTGGAGTAGGTGTAGCGAAGGCAAGGTCCAGGAGATAGCTGATTGATATAAGGTAAAGAAGGTTGGTAAAAAGGAAATTAGGAAATTGCGAGTTCAGAGTACCAGATAGGATATACATATGGACTTTGAATAAACTCATTATAATGGCAAGAATATAGGTGGAGAGGAAAGGTGATAAAAGGGAATGTTGAGTGTCCAGGAGATTGATAGATGAAAAATACAAGTGGAAGAGGGTCGTAGATCTGACTGGCTAGACCTTTTGAGAGAGCAGGAGCAGTGATTTGGATACTGTCTTGGAAAGCAAGGAGGACAAAAACCTATCAACCGATCTTGTGCAATTTGAGAATAAAAATAAGGAAAGCTAGAAGTGGTAGGGATAAACTTTTTGAGTGATATTGACAAAATATGAGTTGTTTATGGGTGGAACACAGTGGAAGAGATGGGAAGCAGGTAGGGGTGGAGAGCTGAATCAGAGGCTCGACTAGTCAGGTTGGCAAATGACAGGGGAAAATACGCAATCTCATGTTATGTTAGCTGGTGAAAATAAACAGAAAGTAAGTAAGGCCCTGGATGTCTTTCTCTCTGAGGAAAGGTGCCAGTATCCTTAATGGAAAGATGTGGATCACCTAGCTTGAAGTGGTGCCAGACTACTACCAATGGTTCCAGTAAGAGGCCCTGGTGGGGAGATAATCTAGGCTTAGGAGGGGTGTCACCAGTGTTTGGAATAACAATATCACTTTCCTAATAGGAATGTATAGAACAAACTAAGAGCATGGCTATTCTCAGTAAATAGCAGAATTGCATTGGGAAATCAAAGCAAGCATGCAGTAGTAGTAGTGATAAGCACTAAACAGTTGCTAAATATGGCATAAATAGACTTGAATTCCTGCTGTAATTTCTCCTAATCTACAAGGGTAAAAACAATGAGCAGTGATGACAAACATTGAGAGATATTTAAGTGAAAAAAAAAGTTTCTTAGTACTGTGCTGTTTAATGAGAGGTCTGTGGACCAGCAGCATTGATATCACCTGGGAATTAGGAATACAGAATCTTAGATCTCACTATTGCTCTGCTGAATTAGTCTATTTTAACAAGACCCTCAGGAGATCAATATGCATATGAAAGTTTAAGAAGCATTGCTCTAGTCTGATATACTATTTCCTACTCTTATTCAATTATCTAGCAGAATATTTTCAGATACTTCTATTATGTAAAACAATTAGATATGTTTCTGAATGGCGACAGTTCAGTAGGGGAAGTAGGGATGTGGCTCAAGCGGTAGCGCGCTCGCCTGGCATGCCTGCGGCCCGGGTTCCATCCTCAGCATCACATACAAACAAAGATGTTTGTCCGCCGAAAACTAAAACAATAAATATTAAAAAGTTCTCTCTCTCTCTCTCTCTTTAAAAAAAAAAAAAAAGAACATAGGGCTGTAGCAATAGAGTGTATGGCTCAGTTCCTAGCCAGTTAGCTATGATTATGACAGTCCCAAGGAAGTTCTCTCTCTGTACTTCAGTTTTCTCATCTGTAAAATGAGGTTAAGAATAGTACCTACTCTAATAGGTATTATAGCAATTAAATGAGGTAATATATGCATAACACTTAGGGCTAGCCTAAGTAAGCAGTTTGTGTTAGCTACTGTTACAATTATTAGATATTCAGATTTGTTAAATGTATTTATGTTTTCCTCTTTTTATTTTTACCTTACTTGATTAGCTAAGGCATTAAATATTATGAATTTTTTCCTTTGGTGATTTGAGCAGTTTTTATTGAATTTGATAAATGGCATTTCAATGAAAATTGACTTACATCTACCAATATGAATTAGTTAACATTTATTCAGGAGTTTATGATTATTTTATTGCAGAAATGAAAGCAAATGGGGGAAATAAGACATTTACTATTAAGTCTCAATGAAAATCATTGTATGATATGGAGGAAGAGGTGAGACATAGAGAAAGCAGCCTTGGGCTGGGGGTGCAGTCCCAGTTCTGCCTTTTATTTGCTGAATCATCTGGGTCATGTTAGTTGCTTAGTTTCCTTATAGGTGTTGACAGATGTTTGAGTTCATACGGAGTATTTGGGCTAAATTCACTTAAATCCTAATGCCATTGTTTATTTGCTTATTTTATAGTCCTATAGAATTAGGATAATACCACCTCAAAGCATTGTTATAATGATTGAATGAATTATATATGACTAGCATTGTGCCTGGCCTGCTACTTAAGGCAGGTATCCTCACCTTGTTAAGTCTTAATTTCTTTACCTGCAAAGTGGGAGTTAGAAAATATTCCCCATGTGATACAACTGGAGAATTCAGAGAAAAACAAATGCAAATGACTTAAACTTATGCAGAGACACATAGCCTTGCTTATAAAAGAAATGTAAATTAAAACTACATTGACCTACCACATAGTCAGAATTCCAAGTTTGATATTTTCAGTGAATTACCAGACAGTGATAGATACCTTGATAGTACAACTCCTGTAGAGGAAGATTTAATAATGAAGATTTAATAATGTCTAACAAAATTATATATCTATATACTCTTTGATCCCAAAATCCCACCTTTAGGAATCTATCCCAAATATACACTGATGAAACTTTGCCAAATTATAATAACAAAATAGTAGAAACTACCAGGATATCCTCATTAGAAGCTGATGAAGATATGATGTATTCAGACAGATAATACACAGCTGTAAAAATGATTGAAATTTATCTGTAAGTATTCATCTCTAGTAAATGCAAATATATGTATGAGCATGTATGTTTGAAGGAAGGAATAGAACAGTATTATCTTAAAAAGGAGAAAAATATATATGCTTGTATTATTTTTAAAACTATTATAGAAGTATAACCCCAAACTTGTAAATATGGTTACATGTTGGATGGGAGGCAGAGCATAGGCAATAGAATAAGATTAAGATTGTGAACTAGATTTGTGTGAATGTACCTTGTTTTGTAAATTAGACTTTAAATCCACAGAAATATTTTATATAATTATAAAGCAGAATTAAATAAAAATGAAATCAAAACAAAACAAATCCCAAGCTATGGAATCAACCCAGGTGCCCTACAATGGATGAATGGATAAAGAAAATGTGGTATATATACACAATGGAATATTACTCAGCCATAAAAAGAATGACATTGTGACATTTGCTGGAAATGGGTGGATCTGGAGACTTAGCATAGCTAAGTGAAATAAATCAATCCGTAAAAACCAAAAGTCAGATGTTCTTTCTGATACGTGGATGCTGACACAACAAAAGGGTGTGGAAAAGAATAGAAGTTCAATAAATTCGATAAGGGGAATTAAGGGAAGGTTGGAGGGACAGGAAATAGGAAAGACAATAGAATCAGTCTGACTTAACTTTCCTACATACATAAATAAACACACCACAGTGAATCTCTACATCATTTACAATCATAAGATTGGGAGCCTAATTAAAATAAGATGTACTCCATGTCTGTATACATATGTCAAATTATACTCTACTGTCATGTATAACTAAAGAGAACAAATAAAAATAATTTTAAAATATTAAAAAATCCCTAAAAATTAAAGCACAATGAATCAAGTGTCTATTGGTATATTGAGTAGATGGAGTAATTGCCTGGAAATAAACTGTTTTTCTGTACAGTCTTAATGGAATATATTCTAAATGTAAAAAATTGGATTAATTGGACAGTTTACTTCTCAGATGTATTTAATTGAAGAATTTGTCCAATTGAAGAGTTTGTCTCCAGACATTTTTCTAAAATATTACAATTAAAATTCAAACATTTTGTTAATTGATAGCAAATTGTTCTGGTATATACAGTGAAAGGGAATTGAAAGCATTATTCACACATTGTGCTACATAAATTCAGCCAGATATGAGTACAACATATCAAGGCAAATTCCTCTCATGGACTTGCACTTTCTGTTCTGTTTTTGTTCCAATGGGACTTAATGTTTTGAGCGTATACACCAATAGGTGACATGAAACAGAAGTTGGGATTATTATGGTAACCTGAGTATGTTGGAATCCAAGGAGAGGCTGAATGTTATATGTAGCCCACTAATCGGAGTAATCTATGAATCAGAGTGAATGGTAGAACCAGACAGAGCTGCATATTGCAGAATAGACAGCAAGGTTTGGGCAGAGCAGTCACCAAAGAGCAGTCACCAACAGTTTCCAAATAAGCAATAGCTAATATCTGTAATATCAGAAATCCATATTTCCCTTTCTGGAACAGTGGCAATAACAGTGTATCTTAATAAATGCCATTGGGAGAGTGAAATAAAAATTTTCTCAAAAATAAAACCACTGAAAAGTTGAATTTGATTTACAGGGATTAATCACAGTAGAGGAATTTGACCCACAGGGATAATTAATTGATTCAAAAACTTAAACTATTTTCTGTAATGTTGTTAATATTGCTGGATTTCCTATTCTAAAACTAGGTAATTTATATCTATTTTATATCTAATGGGATTATGCAAATGTCATTAGAATTTTCATTTTAAAAGAAAATAAATATAAAACAAGTAAAAACCTCACAGTTGCAAATTCAGATTGGAAATAGCAATATGTATTCCTGATTTAATTTCTCTTAAAAAGACATACAGGGGTTAGGGGTATAGCTAAGTGGTAGTATGCATGCTTAGCTTGCCCAAAGCCCTGGGCTCAAACTCCAGTAACCCCTCCCCTCAAATATGTGGAAACAATGACCAATGTGTAATAACAGATAATATACTCTAAATGCCATTAAAAAGGACGAGGGACTCTTGGAGAGATGTCTGACTACAGCAGGACTAGGGCAGGAACATCTTGTCATAGAAAGCAAGGAAAGTATTTAAAGACTACTAAGAATAAGTCATAGGACTCACTGGCCATATGAATGGGCTCCTACTAATGAAGTTAGAACAATTTAAATATCAATAACTGCAGTAGATTAAAACATATAAAATACATTAAAATTGTGAGGTTATGACATTTTAAAAAGTTGCAGAAAGAACAATAAAAGAAAATTGATATCTAATTCAATTAAGATAGTAAGGTATTTTGAAACTTTAAGGTTCCTGTCAAATACATTTGCAAAAGTATTTAAAAGTATAAAATTGTGAAGTGAAAAAAATGATTTAGGTTAAATTGATCTCATAGGTATTTTTCAGGTTTAGGTTTTTGAAATTTAAAATTTGCGCCCGTATTTTTTTTTCACTATAAATCTTATTTTTGGAACTAGTATAAAACTGAAAAAATTTCTATTATCTGACTTTGTATTATCTGTAATATTGACAGTTTAGATAGTTTTATGGTAAAATGTTAAAATATGGGGGAAAAAGCCAAATACTATTTGTATAGAGTAAGAATTGGCAAACTATTTCTGTAAAAGGCCAGATAGTTAACATTATAGGCTTTACTGATCAATGACCTGGTTATAACTGCTCACATCTGCCGTGGTAGTATGAAAGCAGCCATAGACAATTCTGTAAATTAGTATTTTTATTCCCTGTGTTCTAATATCTTTATGTACCGAAACAGATAGCATATAATTTTATATACATGTAATCTCTAATTTAAATTTCATTCCTAAGCCTGAATAGGCCTTGATAGAGAATATTAGATTTTTTTTCTTTTCTTTTTTAATTGCCTTTTCTTCCTTTCTAGGTATAAGGGACCACTGTTAGAAGAACAAGCCCTTACCAAGGCAGCAGAAGGTGGACTGTCTTCACCTGAATTTTCAGAGCTCTGTATTTGGTTAGGCTCTCAAATAAAATCATTGTGCAACTTGGAAGAAAGTATCACTTCAACTGGTATTGTCATTTAGTTTTATTTACCTTTCTATTATTAGTAATAAAATAAACTGCTAGCTCATAATTTATAATTTTATTAATTATGGGATCACAGTAGAAAGAAAAATTGCTAATGGGGAGAAGTTCAGTATGGGATATTAAAAATCTTGATTTGAATTTTATGGTAATACAAAACTGATTCTCAAATTTGATGTAAAATTATGAATAATACTGTTTATCTGCCGTGTTGACTCTGGTATTGTTCTTTAGCAAAAAAAGTCTGAATTTGGTTATTTTAAAAAATTTTTTTAATATGACTCAGTTTTGAACTAATTTTATATATATGTAATCACTAATTTAAATTTTATTCCTAAGCCTGAAACTCAGGGCATGTATTTATATAGAAATACTTTTATAAAAATATGCCCTGACTCAAAGCTTGTTCAGTTTATTATCATCTTGGTAACTGGAGTCCTTGTGGATCTTTTTTTATTTTATTTTATTTTTTGGTACCAGGGATTGAACTTGGGGGCACTCGATACTGAATCACATCCCCAGCCCTATTTTTTGTATTTTTTATTTAGAGACATGGTCTCACTGAATTGCCTTGCTGAGATTGGCTTTGAACTGTTGATCTTCCTGCCTCAGCTTCCTGAGCTGCTGGGATTACAGTCATGCACCACCCACCTGCCCCTGCCCTCTCTCCGCCTAATCTTTGGTATAATTTCAGACAGTGTTAGAAAATAAAACATGAAAAACTATTGGGCATTTGCTAGGGAACAAAATAGTCTTCCCTTCTAAAGCTGTCCTTTGAAATTATTTTTTTCCTTGCCAAATTTAACAGAAGTTGGGCTGCGAATGTAGCTCAGTGGTAGAGTACTTCCGTAGCGGGTTCCATCTCTAGCACTGCAAACACAAAAGAAAACAAGCAACAAATTTAACAGAATTCCTGTGAAACAAAGTAAAATAATGTGAATTCAAAACAAGGCACAAGTTCCTACATAATTACATTGTGAATTAAAGATAATAAACTTAATTAAATGATTGCATTTAATAATCTGGTTAGAAATAAAAAAGAAATGGGTAATTTACTCTGAAGCCAGTTACAATAATTGTAGATCTAATAATGTTTTAAGTGTTTCAGTTGCTAATTCCAAATATTTCCAGTTTACCTGATTTTATGGAGAGTTCATTGGACAAAACTTGTCAGAGATTTAAATATAAGTGTTTGCAATCTTGTTATTACAGATGTTCTTAAATTGATATTTTTGTTCTTAAATTTAAGCCTAAACACTTGAGCATGCGTGTACACACACACACACACACATTGTATGGAAATTAGTTGCCTTAGCCTAAGCTTTGTAGTTACACATCTAAGGATTAAATGTGAAAGTGAAAATTTAGAATTGAATATAAAATTGAAATTAATGAGGTAGATTTCATAGTATTGGCTTGTATGGTAAGTACTTAGTAAATGTATTATGATTTTTCTTTTTTAAAGGGAGAGATGACCTAGAGAGCTTCCAACTTGAGATAAGTGGTTTTTTAAAAGAAATGGCATGTCCATATTCTGTTCTCATATCAGGAGATATTAAAGACCGTTTAAAAAACAAGGATGACTGTTTGAAACTTCTATGTAAGTTATATTTCCTTGGACATTTAAATGCATGTGTTTGATCTGGTTTTGTTATTTTCAAGCCAAAATTTATGCAGTTTCATTAATGAAACATTACTCATTTTATCTGTTGAAAATGTTTTAGTATTTGACTTAAAATATGATGCTGTCTCAGATGTTTGCATAAATAAATTTAAGTAAATTCTACGAGTATATCCTCTAACACTTGGGATATTATGGTTAATATAGAATGCCCTATGTTTGTACTTTCTATTTCCTTCACCTTATTCCTCTCTTAGCATTTATGACTAGATGTGTAAAGTTGGTGATCTCCAAGGTCCTATTTAATTTAAAACTCTGGGAACTAGACTGCTAAGGAGATTATGAGATCTCATTTTAGTGATAGGCATTGAATGATAATCTGTTCAAAAACATTTATTGATCACCTACTCTTGTACCAAAAACTGTTATAGGCACCAGGAAGATGTCAGTGTTTTGTTTTGTTTTTTTTTTTTTTTAAGAAAAATTTGTATAGTCCTTTTTTATTATAAAAATACATGCTCAGGAGGAATGTGATGGGGTGTTAATGTTTACGGATACCAAGTTTCACTGGGGAAGATGAAAAAGTTCTGGAGATTGATGGGATAATGGCAATGCAATAATATAAATATGCTTATTGTTACAGAGCTGTATGCCTAAAAATGGCTAAAATGGTAGAGTTTTAAATTTACATGCTGATGGTATAAGTCTTAGAAAGTAGACAAAATTGTAAAGAAGAAAATAAAGTATAACTTTACTACCTAGAGAGAATTATGAATACTTTTGGTGTATTTTCTTTTGAGGGGGGCGGGTACTGGGGAATGAACTCAGGGTCATTCGACCACAGAGCCACATCCCCAGCCCTATTTTGTATTTTTGAGACAGGGTCTCACTGAGTTGCTTAATGCCTTGCTTTTGCTGAAATTGGATTTGAACTCTCAATCCTGCCTCAACCTCCGAAGATGCTGGGATTACAGGCTTATGTCACTGTGCCTTGCAACTTTTTGGTGTATTTTCTTTCCCTTTTTCTTGTGTGTGTGTGTGTGTATGCACACATACACACACACACACACAGAGGAATGATTGAGAAACTGTTACAGATGCAGTTCCTTTTCCTCTTCCCCTCATTTAATGTATTATTCTACTCTTCATTTCCCCCTCACTTCCTGTTGTTATTATTTTATGGTACTGGTGATTGAATCCAGGACCTTGTGCATGCTAGGCAAGTGCTCCTTTTATTTTATTTTATTTTGAGATAGAGTCTCGTTAAATTACCAATGTTGGCTTTGAACTTGCAATCTTCCTGCCTCAGCCTCCCAGGTAGCTGGGATTACATATGTGGACTCCACTATGCCCAGCAGTTTTTTTTTTTTTTTTTTTATCAAATTGATTTAAATTAACTATATTACTTTTTATTGGCATAATATTTTTAGTTAATAGATTTCAAGTTTGGAGGTATTTGAATTTTTTTTTCTATTTTAAAACAATTTGTGTTTCTGGTTACTTTTACTTAGACAAAGACTATGAACGTTTAAAAAAATCTCTTGTCTAGTTATATTGCCATATTTTGCTTCAGAAATCAATTCACAGTCTTACCAAAATTTACTCTTTATCTTTAGTTTAACTGAAGTATAGTTATAGTTAGCTGTTTGAATCATATTTAGTCATATAATAATCTTGCTGTTGCTCCTGGAATGTTTGTAGTGTGCTTAAAATAAAAAGGGCTAAATTCCTTCCTATGGGAAAAGCTTTAATGAATCAAGAGGAAAACATGAGAACTTCACTAGAAAAATGTATAAAGTATATAAGACGTGAACATGTATTCTAAAGAAAAAAAAATTTTTTGTGTGTGTGTACTGGGAATTGAACCCAGGGGCACTCAACCACTGAGCCACATCCCCAACCCTTTTTAAGATATTTTATTTAGAGACAGGGTCTTGCTCTGTTGCTTGGGCCTTGCTAAGTTGCTGAGGCTGGCTTTGAACTCGCAATCCTCCTGCCTCAGCCTCTTTGGATTACAGGTGTGTGCCACCACACCCTGCAAGAAAAAGAATTTTAAAATTGCATATAAAGTGAAAAGATGCACAATATTTTTCAAAATCAAGGCATTATAAAAATAAAATAATACAAGTGTGTAGGATAACAAATTCTTATATACTGTAGACATGCTATGGGGGTCAAATAACTGGTGTAGCCTCTTAGGAGGACAGCTTTTCAAAATCATAGTTAAAAACTCACCTCTCTTTGACCTGGTAATTCATTGTCTCTGAATACATATCGAATGCCCTAAATATTGAAAGATAAATGAAAAGGATGTTTATTACAACATTGTGATATCAAGAAGACTGGAAACCTGAGTGTCCACAAATAGTTAAATGGGGATGGTGCATTTATGCAGTGATATCACAATCTAGTCGTTAGGAAAAATGAAAATAGATCAAATGTGCTTTTATGGAGTAATCTCTGAGATACGTTAGTAGTAAAAAGCAACATAGAACATGCATAATTTACTGTGGTGGGAAGACAACTTACTTTTCCCTGTATTGTTTATACTCTGCATAGGTTAGTTTTATAAGTACTAGACTAAACTCTTGATTGAACTATTGCTTAGAGCATGCTTCTGCAGAACAAATGCAGACTTCCAGAGATACGATACATTTCTGAAGAACTAGTAATCTCTTTTAATGAGGTTTTTAAATCAGAGGGTCCTTAGTGTAGTCCTCATCAATGAAGTATGGTAGATACTGGTTGTAACTTTTTGGTATTTGGCTCTTTAGACTGTAATATGTAGATTGCATAGAAAATTAGTGTTTTTTCTCTCTCCATGAGAGTCACCTTGACTCTAAAACAAACTACACAGATGTCCAACTTCTGCTTCATCTCTGTTCATTTAGAATCTCTGAGGATGGGATCTTGGTATCTATATTTCCTAGATATTGTGTTCTCAGCTGAATTTGAAACTGCTATATTAAATTGTGGCTTTTGTGTATTGTCAATTTTAACTAAGGACAAAAACAATATCATAACTGTTGTAGTGAAAAGTTAATTTAAAATAAGACTATCCATCAAAGATTTTTTAGTAATTTTCTTAAATATGGCTTTTGAAAGAATAGAATAGAATAGTGAAAGGAGAGGGAGTTGTGAACAGCTTCATGTGATCTTTCCTGACTCACATTGTTCCGTCCATGTATAGATGAGTTAGAGCTACACATTCTCTCCTAGCCCAGTGCTTTGTCATAAGAGAATGTGTTAGTAAAGTCTCATACATTCTTAATTTTTTGGTAGGTCTTTTCTACTGGATTTTAAATTCTTTAAGGGTAGGCAGTCTCTCTGATGTTACAACTCCATTGTATACACTGTGCCTGACTCAGAACAAAATGTGTAGGTACATTGAAATAGCATTGTAGATCATTTACTGTATTAATTAAAATGGAACTGCAGCCAGCTAGTGCAAAATCAAGGAGAATATAATAAGTCATTCATTCATTCCTCTTTTACTTGATGGTATTAAATAAATTCATTTTCATTTTTATTTTTAGTGCCCCCCCTTTTTTTACTCATTCATTTATTCAAACTAAGTCTTAGAGTAAATCTATACAGGTAAAATAGATGAAAAGTGAAGCTTCTCCTTTGGAGGGACCTGGAGCCTTGTATGCTTGACTCTAGAGGGAGCTGCTCAGGCTTCTCCAATGTGAAAAACAATTAGCCATTTAAAGTACAGTACAAATTTGAAAGAGTATTTTATGTAGCTTTAGGTAAGTTGTGTCCCATTTACCTCTGCTGCCTTAACACAGTTTACTGTGTTCTGCAAATGTTGGTATTGCTCTTTGGTTCTTTGTAAGGGAATATTGGTTTTGGTATTGTTGATACTTATTTTATTTAAGATATTTGGTGCAGATAATAACATTTGTTTTAACCTTTTTTTGTTATAGTATTTTTAAGTACAGAACTTCAAGCTTCACAGATATTGCAGAAGAAGAAACGTAAAAATTCTCAGTTAGATAAAAACAGTGAAATTTATCAGGAAGTTCAAGTTATATGTGATTCTCTTGGTGTTCCCAAGTCAACCACTTCCGACATTCCACTTATGCTAAACCAAGTGGAATCAAAGGTATTGTATTTGTTTTATTTTTATTTTCTCCAAATTTAGCTAAATACTAACATATAAATGCTGAATTAAAATGAAAGCCTTTCCTTTAAGAGTAAAATATACATTATCATTTCAAGACAAATTTGTCTTCATATAAACTAAATTTTGGATTTGGACTTAATGTCCATGTGACTTAATTTTGCCTATGGCTAATATTTAAGAATCAGATTTTAACATGTGAGTGCTGTTAGGCTTGGCTAGAGTTTGCCATAATAGAAATAACTTTTCAAATTTAAAGATTCTGTTACTAATCAGTGATATAATACAGTATAATGAAAGAAGGATAGTTTTTCTGTAAAGTCAAAAGAGAAACTAAACTTTTTTCCCAATGGATGTTACAGTGGGGTTTCTTTGGCTCTGAGTAAAAAGTTTTTTTGTTGACAAGTGTTTAGTAAGTGACTATTACATAATGAATGTATAAATGAGTATTCTGACAGAATAGTTAAAGACAAGTACAAATCTCATACCTCATGCTTTTTCCCTTTTAATGGTCTTCTGGCCTATTTACCTAAAAAGGCTTTCTATACCACTCACTTCCTATTAAAACTAAAAATTTCTCTATTTTCTTTCTTCTACTGTGATGTGTGCCCAGAAGACAACTTATTATCATTGGGGGAAAATTTTTTACAATACAATCTAAAGCTGTTCAAAGGTATAACAGCAAATAGGTATCATTTATTGTTCTAAATGCTTATATGTATAACTCATCTAATTCTCATATTACACATGAGATAATAACCTCTATGGGAAAAAACTGAGGTATTGAAAGATTTAATAATTTAAATAAGCAAGTTTCCAAGTAGTGGTAAAAACCTGAGGTTTGAACATATGTTCATATAGGCACTTTCCAGAGCCTATGATCTTCACTCACTCCATAACAAGGAATGTGAATATCTGAGGGTGGCTACATGTAGGAAACTATATGTGTGCATTCAGAATCCCTCTGGAGTGAGGAGTTAAAACCTGGTGTATGCCTTAATCCCAGTGACTTGGAAGTCTAAGGTAGGAGGATCAAAAGTTCAAGGCTAGCCAAGCAAGGTCCTAGGTAACATTGTGAGACCCTGTCTCAAAATAAAAAAGGGCTGGGGATATTGCTCAGTGGTTAGGTGCCCCTGGGTTCAATCCCCAGTACAAAAATAAATAAATAATGTATAAAATAACATAAAATTGACATTACTTACCATGAGTGGAATTTGTAGAAATGACATATTTTAAGAAAATAATTAATTCCATAAGATATGTAAAGATCAGGTCAATATCATTGGTATAGAGGTAGATTGCTACTAAGCTAGTGAAGCTTAAACTCTGGGGTCTCATTTGCATAGGTACTTTCTAAGCTAATTTAAAATATGACTTTCTAGATATAATTTGCATGTCATGAAATTCATTTCATCTTAAATATATAATCAATGAATTTTAGTATATTTACCAGATTGTACAACCATCTCTAAAATCTAATTTTAGAACACTTCCATCACTGTGAAAAGAAACCTCATGTTCATTTACAGTCATTTCCTATTACTACCCCATCTTCCAATGTGATTTTGAATTATTTTTCTTCAGGAGTGCCCCCAACATTAATTAAATAAGCTTCATTCTCCTTAAAATCTGAACTGCTCCTGATTATCTTCTGTTACTACCTTATAACTAAGAAACTTTAAATATTTCATTTATTTTTGAAACATTTTCTTTAGCTAGTGAAAGATTCTCTAGTTAGGAAGGTGAGCCTACTTAGGCTGTCATTCTGTGGTCGTTTTATTCAGGATAGATTATTATTATTGGATAGCTCCTGATACTACTAAAGAAAAAGTAAATGCCAAATATCTTGCTTACCAAAATAAATGTTTTAAGTAATTTAAATCAGTGACTTTGCAAAAGTAATGAAAATGTGTATGTGGTAACAATAATTGACATTTTTATATTGTCTTGCTGAACAATGAAACCAGAATAAATACAATTAGAATGTGCACATAGTATTTGAGAAAAATCAGTATGCTTGTTAAATGTGTAAGTATCCTCTTTGAGAATTTACCAGGAAGTAAGAGATTGCCATCTTAAGAAGAAACTCCAAAATTATTTCACATAAGACCCAATTTCTCATAGTAGAACCCTTTAATAAGTACCTTAGTCTCTGTACACTATTTCTTCTTATTGGAAAGATCTTCTGTAACTTGAATCAATATAACTGGTGCTTATTTGAAAAAGATAGTAATGGTACTCTTTCCTGATTTGTGAAGGTGTATTTTAATTATATCACTTTAACATTTTATTTATTCTCTAATGTTCAAAACAACACTCAAACCAGAATAAGCTTGTTTTTAAATTAAGTATATACATTTTCACAATTTTTTGTATTTACTTTTAGGTAAAGGATATTCTCTCTAAAGTCCAGAAAAATCATGTGGGAAAACCACTGCTAAAAATTGATTTAAGTCTGGAACAGGCGGTAAATCTTCTTTTCTTTTTAGTTTGGTGCATATGATTGTATTAGTTAATTTTTTGTTACTACATTGAAATACTCAAGTCAGAATAACTTTATAAAGAAAAGAGCTTTATCTATCTCAGTCTTAGAGCCCGAATGTCCATACAGCATGGTGTAGGCTCTTGCAAGGGCTGCCTCTTGGCTTTGTAACCTAATGATTGCAAGGATGGTAGTTGAAGGGAGATATCACATTGTCAAACAGGAAGCCGGAGAGGCTGGGGTCCCACAGTCCCTCTCAGGGGCAACCCCAGTTGACCTAAGGATCTTCTACTAGGCCATATTTTTTAATTCTCTTACTGCTTCCCAATACTGCCAACCTTCAGATAAAGTCTCCAACACAGGAAACTTTGGGGGGGGGGCAAATAATATATGAACCATATAATGACTTAATTTTGTAAATGGACATTCAGGTTTTACAATGCATAGCATGCATGTTATTTTGGAGAATCAAAATGGATTGATATTCTAGAGTAATATATATAAACATTTCTTCAGTCAAATTATTAAGTGAAAACATACCTGGTCAAGAGTATTGAAATTGCCCAATCTGTTAGTGTAGTTATGATTTCAAAAAGATAATATTTTTAAAGCTGATGAGAAGAGAAATTACTGGTATATTTTTTCTATATTGGTCCATACTACATGGAAAGTAGAGTTTTTACTTAATATGTTTAATTGAAGATAAACTTGTTTAATATCTTCTGAATATCATAAATGTTCTATCAGATGTTCATTATTTAAATAATTCACCACAAAGTCTAAAGGGAATTAGAAAATGGTTAAGTATAGTATACTTTGAATTAGCAGGAAGTACTTAATTCTTAGGTTTCTGTGTAGAATGAGTCTGAAGTTTATGATTTTGTTCCAAATTCCTTAGGAACAACTGGAAAGAATTAATGATGCCCTTTCCTGTGAATATGAATGCCGCCGCCGCATGTTAATGAAACGATTAGATGTGACAGTGCAGTCCTTTGGATGGTCTGATAGAGCAAAGGTAAGGCTGTTTTCCCATTTGTATCCTGTAGGTGGTATCCTGTGACAGCTCTTCAAGATCTTGTTTGCTATTATGCAACTGTACCACATTTGTTCCTTATCACTAATCTGAACCACATGTCTAGGTCAACTACTGGCCTCTTATATAAAATGATCCTAGTCTTGCACACATTCCTGTTTGCAAAAACTTAATTTTTCCACAGGCTTTCATATTTGTTTTAAATTCATAGATGGTGTGATTTATGTCAGAATATGCCATTGCAAAGGAGGCATCCTATGAGATAATTAGTAACTTATTAAGAAAGTAGAATATAGGAATGGGACAGATCGTACTGATGCCTGAACAGTTCTTAAAAGTTTCTTAAAACTGGGTAGGTGGGGTATGTGTTTTATTTGAAAAGGAGGTTTCAGGAGAGGGGAATTCCCATTTATGAATCCCTTCAGAGAGCTTTTTAGAAAGCGTCTCCCATCACTCCCATTTTAGGTGTTTAATTTGTATTCAGATTTAGTTTGGGATCCTCCCTATTATGGTTTAGATATTAGGTGTTCTCCAGAAGCTCACGTGTGAGACAATGCAATAAAGTTTAGAGCTAATATGATCAAGTTATGAAAACCTTAACCTGATCAGTGTCTGGGTCCCCTGACAGAGATTAACTGGGTGGTTAACTGTAGCAGGTAGGGTATAACTGAAGGAAGTGGGTCTTTGGGGTATTTATTTTGCCCCTGGTCAAGAGAGCTCTTTCTCTCTGCTTTCTGATGCCATGTTCTGAGCTGCTTTCCTTTGCTACCCCCTTCCATCATGAGATTCTACCTGCCCTTGGGCCCCAAAGAATGGAATTGGCCATCTGTGGACTGAGATCTCTGAAACTATGAGCCCCCAAATAAAAGTCTCCTCCTTTAAAATTCTTGTCAGATCTTTTAGTCATAGCAGTGAAAAAGCCGATTAAAATATCCCTAACCTAACTTGCATCACAGCCTGGATACTTTCCAGGCAGTAAAAAGGGACAATTATAGAACTTACCTTCTTTCAAGGATCACCATTCTAGACTCCTTGTTGTCCACTATCTGAAAGTCATTTGTACGTATGAATTACCCAGTTTTAAAAAATTATTTCATGTCGAAGGGTAAATCTGGTTGGTACCTGTTACTTGATGCAAGTGAAGTTCAGGTATTATTTTCATTTTTTGAATTAAGTGGGTAGTTCTTCTGTTTTGTGTTAATATCAGTTGGGGCTGCTTATGTAGGGCTTTGTTTTGGATATGGTTTGCCCCCCAAGTGGGCATGTGCTGGCATCTTGATCCCCAGTGTGGTGGTGTTAAGATAATGAAACCTTTAAGAAGTGGGACCTAGTAGGGCTGGTTTTGAAGCCCAGTGGTAGAACACTTGGCTATCATGTGTGAGGCACTGGTTTCGATTCTCAGCACCACATATAAATAAATAAAGTCCATTGACAACTAAGAAAATATTTTAAAAAAGAAGAAGAAGAAGAAGTGGGACCTAGTGGAAAGTAATTAGATTATCCACCCTCTTGAATGGATTAGTGCTGGTCTTGAGTGGGTTTGGTCTTGCAGAAGTGAATTCATTTTTGTGAGAATGGGTTGTTGTAAAGCAAGGCCACCCCATGTACTTGGTCCCTCTGCACACAGCTATTTCCATTTGGCTTATTTGCCATGTTGTGATATAGCTAGTGGGGGGCAATGCTGTTTGGACTCTCTACTCACCAGAATTGTGAACCTAATAACCCTCTTTATGCTTTATCCATTCTCAGGTATTTTGTTTTAGCAACACAAAACTAATACATGTAGCTTCTTTCATCTCATACCTGGCCTGGAATGACCAAGATGATTGTCTCACGTGTATGTGTCCTGACTCTGTTGTAGTACTTCCATTCTCCTCTTGGTTCTTGGCGGTCTCTCTCTCTCCATGTAGAGTGTTAGTTTTCTACAGCTGCTATAACAAATTGTCATAAACTTAGTAGCTGAAATAACACAAACTATTACAGTTCTGGAGACCAGAAGTTCTAAAATGAAGGTATTTACAGGATTGCAGACCTCCTGGATGTTTTAGTGGAGAATGTGTTTCCTTACATTGCCTGGCTTTTACATGCCACCTGCATAGTGTGGCTTTCACCCTAATCTGTCTCAAAGCGAGTAGCAGAATCTGATCTTCTAGTCTTTCTCTCTGTCTTTGCTTCTGTTCTCACATCACCTTCTGTCTCTGATACACTTCTGTCTCTCTTTTTAAGGATATTTATGATTATAATACAGATTAATTTTTCATTCTTAAGATGCTTGTCTTAATTTCATCTGCATCTACAAGGTAATATTCCCAGATTCTGTGGATAAGGATATACAGATGTCTAATTTTTTTAATTGAATTTTATTTTTCATGCATTATATTTCTACAAAATGGTGGTAGCTTTTTTTTTTTCATGGTAAGAATACTTATAAAAATTAAGTCTTCTAATGAGTATTTAGTATTTCTGTTATATTTTTGTCTCCCAGAAACTTGTGTCTTCTTATTGCAAACTCATCTGTTTATATGGCTATCATTGGCTGCTCCTCTGTTTTCTGGACCTCATGACCTGCTATTTCACTGATCCCTCCCTCACTCCCTCACTCCCTCATTTTGCCATAGTAAATTTACAAACAACTTGTTAATACAGAGTGTATAGGACATGATTTTTCTGAATCCCAAATTCTGAAAATGTTTGTTCTGCCATCACATTTGATTTTTTTGATGAATATAAAATTCAAAAATAAATTTTTGTCTAAGAATATTGAAGGCATTATTTCAGTTTTTTCAAGAACTTGGTACTGCTGTTATGAAAACCAATGTCATTTGCTGTTGTTTGGATAACCTTTTATTTTTCTCCAGACTCTTGGGCTCTTCATTCATGCAGTTATGAAATTTTATAATGTATGTTGGTTTGAATCTTTTTTTATTCATTACACCAAACACTAGCTAGGCATTTCAATCTGTAGATTCTTTTAGCTTTTATATATTCTGTATTAATTTCTTCCCTTTTATTCTCTGAAATTCTTGTTAGTCAGATAGTGAACATCTGGTAGATCTGCTTAAGATGCTTTTTTCCTCTCTCATTTTCTTTCACTTCCTTTTTGATTTACTTATTGGAAATCTTTTCAATTTTATTTTGTACCTAGTGTTGAATTTTTGTTTCTACCATCATTTTTAAATTGTCACAAATTCTTTTTTGATTCTTTGAGTTGTTTTTTTTTTTTAATATCTTTATTGCTTACTTGTAGATGGACAGTACCTTTATTTATCTTTATGTGGTGCTGAGGCTCAAATCCAGTGCCTCACATATGCTAGGTGAGTGCTCTACCACTGAGCCACAGTCCCAGCCCCTCAGGGTTTTATTAAAAAAATTTTTTTTTCTTATTTTTGAATGTACTGGCTTCTTGAATGCAGGTGAGAACTTTTTTTATTTTGGAGTTTTTGTTATTATTATTTTGCCTTCAATTTCTTCCAGGGTGATTTTTTTTTTTTTTTTCATTTTTTTCCTCTTTTGATCTCATACTGGTGACTTTTTTCAGCTGGATGGTGGTCCTTGGTTGTCCATAAGAAAGAGGAACAGAAAATCAGATTGGAAACTATAGTCATTGATAAGGATTATTAACATCAGGCTTTGAAGCTGGCTGTTGTGCTGTGGCACTTTTGACTTTAGCATGTCTTTGTAGCTGCCCTTTTTTTTTTTTATTACAAGAAAGGAAACTTCATTTTCCTTATACACCTCCCCACACACTTTTTTGTCAGGGAGGGAGGGATAGCAGCATGGAAGTAGGGATTGGAGTAGTTTTCTGTGATGTTGGTCTCCCACTCTCTATATCCCTTTTATTCTCTTTGCTATAAGATATGTGTCTCTTTTTATATTTAGTGTATTCATTGTGACTCACTTATTTATCTATAAATCTTCCCTTATATATCTTACGTAGAGTATTTCCAAACACCTGGGAGACAGATAAAGGAAAGTGAAGAGTGATTGTAACAGGGTTCTTGGTACAAAATATTATTTCAGATAACTTTTTCTTTTTTTTTTGGTACTGGGGATTGAACTCACTGAGCCACATCCCCAGCCCTATTTATTTAGAGACAGGGTCTCAATGAGTTGGCTTAGTGCCTCTCCATTGCTGAGGCTGGCTTTGAACTGATGGTCCTCTGTCTCAGCCTCCTGAGCTGCTGGGATTACAGGCGTGCGACACCACACCTGGCTCAGATAACGTTTTTTTGTTGTTGTTGTTGTTTTTTTTTTAAGCATAGTAGTAGAATATCTATAAGGCAGAGCTGAAAGCTATCATCCATGTATTTTTTTTTCCAGTAATAATGCAGTACCTTGTGTATGTCAAATGTCAAGCACTGTGATATACCTGATTGTGGATAGGCATATCAGATTCTCTATAATTAGATATAGATGTTTGTAGAAGATTGCTGTTTCTATAATTCCTACTCAGCTTCTCAGGTGGTTAAAGTTTAATTCTTTTCTACATGTGTACCTGGATAAACTCTTGGATGTGTCTGTACATGTTATTGGAGTAACTGTATGCAAGAAGCTCATATACCCTGAAGGCTGTGAATTATCAAAGAAGTGTATATAATTGTTGACCTCAAGAAAAACAGTTCAGCTATGTGAGAAGTACCAGTTTTTACTAACCTCTGGCAACTTAAGAGCTATTGTATATATGTTGGGTCTGTAGTTTAACCTGATAGAATTTTTATGAGAAAAAGGAATTTAGAAATATGAGGCAAATTGTGAAAGGTAGTTACATGAAACTTGCCTCATTAAACCAACTTGGAGGATGTTTTCAATGTTGGCTTTAATATTATAGAGAAATCTTAAACAAATGAGTTTTTTAAAAATATTTTTTAAGTTGTAGATGAACACAGTAACTTTATTATTTTAATGTGGTGTTGAGGATCAAAACTAGTGCCTCACATGAGGGAGGCGAGAGCACTCTACCACTGAGCTACCACACCAGCCCACAAATGAATTTTGATACATTCTTTTCTTTGAACATTCAGAGTGACATGGATACATAGGCATGTTGATCCTTTACTGGCCTTAAACAGAGGCTTTGAGCAAATATGCCTTTAGGAAATATGTTGCTATATCTTCTGATCTTGTTTCTTTTTCATCACATATCATATATTAGGATGGGGGAGGTCTTTTTTTTTTTTTTTAATTTGGTCTTTTCCTCAGTCTAGGAGATTTAAAAAAAAAAATATTTTACCTTGGCTATCTGTAGATAATTTTTGGCCTTTTAATTAAGTCTTTTTGGTTTGATTATGTGCGTATGTACCCTAAGTTTTGTTTTCTTATTAATTTAGTACATCTTTATCATTTTTTCTTTATTATTATGATAGAAAAATATGTCTGATATTGTTGTGGCTGTCATCAAATATTGTTCTATAACAGTTTAAATTTCTGCAGAGTATTTTGTCATATAGATATACTATACATTGAGGCTTCCTCTTACTTTGTCTGTTTGACCCTTTACTAAAATCCTTGGCAGCTAAATGATATATTCCTAAAAGTGGAATTTCTTGTTTAAAAAAATTCATGATTTTAAGGCTTTTGAGTCATATTCTGGGTTCGCCTTCGAAGATTATACTCAGTTATTAGTAAGATTAATCTAGTTTCTTTTATTTTGCTAGTATTGAAGTAATAATATGAGTGTAATTTTATAGTTTGCCTTTTTCACTAAATATATTGTGACCATTGCCCATATTACTAAAAGCTCTACTTCAGTACCCTTTTTAAAATTAATTTTTATCACATAACATAAAATGTATTATTTAAAAATGTACAGTATACTGGTATTTAGTATGTTCACTTTGTTATATAACCATTACCACTAATTCCAGAAAATATGCATTGCCCCAAATGAATAAGTACCCATTAGCAGTTATTCCCAACACCCCATCTCCATTTCCTGGCAGCCATTTTTATAATGTATTTTCTGTCTCCAATTTACCTATTCTGAAAATTTCATGTAAATGGAATCATGACATGTGCCCTTTTGTGTCTGGCTGCTTTTACTAGGGATAATGTTTTCAAGGTTTGCCCATGTTGTAACATGTAAAAGAACTTAAGTCCTTTTGGTGTCCTGTTTATGTTGGCATTGTATTTTGTCATGTGAAATTGCCATAATTTATTTATTGTTTTATATTTTTTCCCATATTAACAAAAATAAAAAAAGATGAATTTTTTTTTTGTAAGAATATTAGACACTTGAATTTCCTCTTTTTTTCCTATCTCCCCCCACCCCCTCAGAGTCTTCCTGTTTTCCTCTTGACTGAGCTTTTTATGTTAAGGAAGTTTTGTTAGTTGCTTTGTTAAAAATATTTTCCCCATTGTCTATTGATTTGTTTTATAACTTTTGATGTGTAGAAATTTTAAGTTTTTACGCTAAAACCTCAAGCAGTTAACTATTCACTTCAGAATTCTCTTTGGTATTTGATGTGCCTTATTGTTGTTATTATTAATGTTTTAATAAATAATTAACAGTTTATTCCTTATTGGAGCACTATTTAAAAAATCTCTCACTTCTTGTGAATCTCTGATGCTTCCTTTATCATTTATGTAAATATATTCATATGTCTATGGGGCCCTCAATATCAGTTGTTTCTTTTCATCAATTTATTTTTTTCTTCTAGTTTTAATTAATTATATGGAGGTAGGATAGTATACTGTCTCTATAAACTTGTGCTTCAGGGTCATTTGGCCTTTATTAGTAAATGGACAAAACTGGTATTCCTCTCTGTGGTTTTGGAATAGTAACCTAACATTTCTAAGCTTATTTTTTTCCCCCTGTCTGCAGAAGGGGATATTAAAAATCAACCACTCTAAAGGGATGTTTTGAAGATTGAAGAAATCATGCCTAAGTGAACAATATCCTGGAATATTTAGCTTTTTTTTTTTTTTTTTTTAATTTTTTTTTGTTCTAGAGATTGAACCTAAGGGAGCTTTACCACTGAGCCACATCCCCTTTATTTTTTAAATTTTGATGTAGGGTCTCTCAACTAAGATGCTTAGGGCCTCATTAAGTTGCTGAGGCTGACCTCAAACTTGAATCATCCTGCCTCTGGGATTATAGGTGTGCACCACTCTGTCTGGCTAAATGTCAGCCCTTTATTAGTAAATGGACAATGATAATTTTATATTAATATCTTGTAGGATTCTTTCAAAATTGTTCAAGTCATTCTTACGTATTTAGTTTCTGGATTTTTTTCTTTTTTTTGAACTGGGGATTTAACTCAGGGGCAGTTTACTACTGAGTTATAGCCAAACCTTTTTTTTCTTTATTTTGAGACAAAGTCTCACTAAGTTGCTTAGGGCCTTGCTAAGTTGCTGAGGCTGGCCTTGAACTTGGGATCTTCCTGTCCCAGCCTCCCCAAATCTCCTCAGTTGCTGGGATTATAGGCATGTGCCACTTTCATTTTTTTTTTTTCATCCTTCCCCAAACCATTCTAATGGGATTATAGTAAGTCTAAATTTATAGGTTAATTTGAGAGAAAGTTGACATGAATATTCACTATCTCCACCCAGAAAGTTGATATTTCTCACCATTTATTCAAGTTTTCCTTTTGTTTTTGCAAGATTTACTGAAGTTTTTTTTTTTTTTTTAAGTTCTGTACTTTTTTTTTTTTTTTTTTGGTAAAATTTTTAGATTTTTTTTTTTGTTAATATGAATAGAATCATTTCGTGTTATATTTCTTTGTGAGTTGTTGCTGGTATTTATATATTCTTTTAGCATCTGTTCGTCTATTTTTTCCTTCCACATATAAATTATCAGATATTGAATTCCTTTGCTTTTTCCTATTTATTTTTTAATCTTTTTCTTTTCTGAAGATCATGACTGCTATTACATTGCTCTTTCATTAAACTTTACTTTTGTTCACTTTTTCTCTATCCTTTGTCATTTAGGTCAAAACAGATAACATAGCAAGAATTTACCAGCCCAAACGTTATGCTTTATCACCTAAGACAACAATTACGTTGGCACATCTACTTGCTGCTCGAGAAGATCTATCTAAGATCATTAGGACAAGTAGTGGCTCCAGCCGGGAAAAGACAGCGTGTGCCATTAATAAGGTTGGTTTTTCTTTCAATATTAAAGACCTGAGAGATTTTCTCATTTTTATTTTATTTATTTATATGTGATGCTGAGGCTCGAACCCAGGGCCTCACATGTGCTAGGCGAGTGCTCTACCACTGAGCCATAACCCCAGCCCCCCATTTTTCTTTTGTGATTTTTTGTGAAACAGAAAAGAGCATGGAGGAGCTTAAGTCCATGTTGGCTTAATTGTGCTTTTTAATGTGTATTATTTATTTGAATTTTTGTATTCATAAATTGAATCAAAATTTTATTTCAATCTAAGTAATTAAGAATTGCTTTTATCAGTAGCTTTAGCAAGAATTATTTGCTTTATTTCCAGTATGAAGTTTTTTCTTTTTTGGTAAGAATTTGAAGGAATTTGTTTCAGGTACTTGTTTTTTTTTTTTTTTTTTTTTTTTTTTTAGGGGATTTAAAAAATGTGTTCTTTTTAAATATACATGACAATAGAATATATTTTTGACATATTATACATACATGGAGTATAACTTCCCATTCTTGTGACTGTAAGTGATGTAGAATTATACTGATCATGTATTCATATATGAACATACAAAAATTATGTCTGATTCATTCTACTGTCTTTCTTATTCCTATCCTACCTCCCTTCCTTTCATTTTTGTCTAATTCAATGAAATTCTGTCCCTCCCCACAACTTATTTTGTGTTAGCATTCACAAATCAGAGAGAGCATTTTGCCTTTGTTTTGGGGGGATTGGCTTATTTCACTTAGTATGATAGTCTCTAGTTACATCTGTTTACCCGCAAATGCCATAATTTCATTCTTCTTTATGACTGATATTTTAACTCTTTATATCTTTGGTATAAAGGGAAGAGGAGCACATGTTTTAGAGTTATACTAATCTGGGTAAACACCTTAGCTCTAGCCTTTATTTAGAGGAATTGCTACCATGGCAAGTTACTGAATTTCTTTGAGCTTCTGTTTCCTGATTCAAAGTACAGATTCATTTCTCTGACAGTGATCTTAAATTAAACAAGCTCAAGGACACTGAGGTGTTTTTTTTTTTTTTCCCCTCGTTACAGTGGCAGTAACAGTAAACTAATTTAGAATGTTTATATCAGCTAACTAGCATATCTTCTTTGTTTAGGTAGAGAAGTCCATGGCAGACTTTATTACAAAAGAGCAAAAAATCAAAAGAGATGTGGATAATTTTAAGGCATAGTTTTTTAGTACAGTTTGAGATAGGATATCTTGTTGAGGGGACTTATTTCTTTCCTACTCCTTCCCCTTCATCTCCCTCCCCCATTCTCCCTTTTCTTTCCTCTCCTTTCCTCTATGCTAGGGATCCAACCCAGGGCATTGAGCATGCAAGGCAAATGCTCTACCACTGAGCTAGACCCCCAACCTTGGGGATAGTTGTTTTTAAAGTCAACTTGCTAATTATTGCTATGTTAAGCATCACCAATGTTTGCCTCTCTGCTTCCATTTTAGATCATCCCCTTCTATATTCTGAAAATGTTCTTTCCTTCAGTATGTTACTTAATGTCTTGCATTGGATTATAGTCAAAATGTAGTCTTCCTGGATTTAAGTTCTGCTTCTTTAAGTAAAATTACCCATGTCTTTTCTGAGTTTATAGTCTGATTAGTTGAAGTAACCTTAAGTTCATTTCTTGGAGTAGCATCTCCATATGCCCACCAACATATTATGTTTGGTTAGAGAGACCAGTGATAATAACAAGCAAAAGAAGGTTATTTTTTTTTTATTGGATGATTAGGATATTATTGCTGACATTAAAACAGAGTGTTTGTATACTTAGAACGTTGTTGCAAAATGAGGATGTGGTGGTAATTTTTGTCATTCATTTACTCCATATATTTTTTTTATTTTTTAATATTTATTTTTTAGTTGTAGTTGGACACAGTACCTTTATTTTATTTATTTTTAGGATTGAACCCCCAGGGCTTTGGACATGCTAGGCAAGCACCCCACCCCTGAGCCACAACCCCAGCCCACATTTACTGCATATATTTTTAAAGTCAGTTTGATTATAGAGTATCAGTGGAAGTGGAATGCAACTGATTCATAGGTCATTTTGGTTAAAGAGTATATATTTTGGTTTTTTTCTGAAAAGCGTTAGTAAGATGCTATTGAATTCCCCTTGGCTGTGGTGAGTGATTGACACCCTCCTCAATTATCTGTCTTTCTCTCTGCTCATGGCATGTGTCGTACCTTCTAGAGAAGGTTAGGAACTTAAATTATTCTCTAATTTGTTCTTCAAGATATTGCAAAGCAGAAGTTAAGGAAGTATATCAACTTTTTATTTTTCTTATATAGGCTGAATATAAAGTGCTTGGGAACAGAAGTGTTTCAGATTTGGATTTCTTTTGAATTTTGGAATATTTGCATATATGTAATGCAGTAGCTTGGAGATGGGACCCAAGTTTAAACACAGAATTCATTTATGTTTTCTATGCATGTTACAAATAACCTAAAGGGAATTTTATACCATATTTTTAGTGCACCTATGTGTTGACTGTGACCTATCACATGAGACCAATTATGGAATTTTCCACTTTTGAACATCATGTTGATGCTCAGAAAGTTTTGGATTTTGGAGTATTTCATCTTTTGAATTTTAGGAGTAGGGATGTTCAGCCTGTAATGTTATAGTTACTGTCATTAAAAAAGTAAGTGAGCTTAAGTTTCTCACAAGAAAGAAATAATTCATTGAGAATCCTTGCATCTCTCTGCTGTGATGCCTGATGTTATACTTATATTCAACTCTTACTTCTTTACATTTACATGTTACTTTCTATACATTATGCTTTGTTGAAATAAAATGTGCTTAGGAATACAATCTTTTATCAGTTAATGTATTACCAAATCAATGTTAAATGTAGGGTATGTAGTTCATGTATGTGAAAAATATTTTTACTAAAAAAGTTCTTAGCATGATAGATACTACATTTGTTATAGAATTTGTTAGACAAATTTAAATAAGAGAAAAGTAATAAGCCTTTACATTTCAGAAATACTCCCCCAGATTTTATAAAAATAATACCACATTCTGAGGAATTTGTCATACATCACACTTATATTTTCAATATTAATTTATACTTCCATGTCTGATACTTTCATGTTAAATATTTGGCTTATATTTCTTTATTAGAAACAGTAACTTTAGTATTATTTGAAATCTTTATGTAAGTTTTAACTTTTAAAATACTAGAAACTGAAAGAAAATATTTCTTCACACAGGTGCTGATGGGAAGGGTGCCTGACAGGGGAGGACGGCCGAATGAAATTGAACCACCACCCCCTGAAATGCCCCCTTGGCAAAAGAGACAAGATGGTGGCGGAAGGGGTGGTTGGGGTGGTGGAGGTGGAGGTGGTGGCAGAGGAGGTGGTGGGGGTGGGAGAGGTGGCTGGGGAGGGGGAGGGGGAGGCGGGTGGGGAGGAGGTGGTGGAGGAGGTGGAGGTAGAGGAGGTTTCCAGGGCAGGGGAGATTATGGTGGTAGGGGAGATTATGGTGGAAGAGGAGGCTATGGTGGAAGAGGGGGCTATGGTGGGAGAGGTTATGGAGATCCATATGGAGGAGGGGGTGGTGGTGGTGGAGGATATAGAAGATATTAAAAACTGCAACAATTAGATATTAGTGCTTACTTCTTGTTAGATACTTTAGGCATAGTATTCTAAATAACAAATTTGACTATTATCTTTGGAGAAAATACCGTGTTAGATTCCCTGATGAAATCATTCTTGAATTGGGTTAATGTGTAAGAACATTGTTTTATACTACCAATTGATCTCTCAAAGTGATGACTTTTTCCATATTCTGTGTACTATTGAGCATGTTGTGTCTTTTTAAAAAACAAAAATGAACAAAAATATTTTTAAAAGTATAAATATTTATTACCATCAAACTTGGAAAATGGAAAGTATTTTATTGTCATGATTGAATTTAGATTGTTAACCTGTATTTTGTTCAGGATTGAAACACATAAATGATTCTGCCTGTGATAGAAAAGAATATAGACTCTTGCCTCATCTGTTTTCCTGTAGATGTTTTATATTTGTTAATTCTATTTTACAAAGTAGGAAAGGGACTGATACTTCTGTTCAAAATGTAGTTGTCATGATTTGTATTTTATGGGATGAGATTTCTTCTGATCACGTTTCTGTTTAAGGTTCTATTAATTGAAGCCCAGGTGTTTTTTTTTTTTTTGCTCAAGACAATACAATGATAGCCTAGGTTTTTTTTACTATGCATTTTTTATTTTGTTTTCTAGTTGGATTTGAAACTGGTATGATTTTATTTGAAATTAAGCTAAGTTAAAACTTGAGGTCAGAATTATTTGAAGGGACAAAAATACATACAGATGTTACATAATGTTGTGAAAAATTTTCCTATGAACTGGTCTTTTCATTGTTTGTGTCCTCGATTTAGATAATCTGATATTCAAAGTTAGACTGAACTGTATCACACAGGATTAAGGCAGTAATTTCCAGTTTCAGCAGATCAGGGGCCCGGTAGGGCATTCACTGATAATTCTGATTCACAGCTAAATTTGGGAAACATAGTATTAGAGAATAGCTATGTGTGGTCTGGTGAATAGAGCAAAGTCTTGGGGATTGAGAGTTGTGAATTTAAACTGTGGTCAGGGGTGTTTTGGATTGAAATGACTTTAGCTCTCAAGGATTAATTTGCTCTTAGTTGTCAAATGAGGAATGAGCCAGTTGCCCCTTGCTTAGGTTGTTTCATAAAGACCTACTTACCAATGCAATTTGTTGAAAATTTATAGAGCTCCTATTGTGAGGGTTTAAGAGGCGATTGGTATTTTTCTCTTAGTGTAAGAATTGGAGAAAAAAAGCTGATCATACAAAATTTCTCACACTTCTTATAAAATTTCGGTCTTGGCTCCTGGTCAATACCTGTACATAATAACCTGTGATCTAACTAGTTCAACGGATAGCTTAATTACCAGTGAGCAAATGGTATTTGATATTTGGCAAGTTTGTTATTTTATTTTACAGTAAATCCTCTGGTGAAATCTAAAATAATGTTAATTAAATCTTTAAACATAAATATTGTGTATGATGTAGTCTTCAACATGTATTTATCAAGCTAACTCTTTGAAGGAATGTGTTCAGGACAGAAAAACATAAAAAAGTTTTGGTTATTTGTAAACTAACGCTTTTTTGTGTTTATATTTAATTAAGAGACTTAATTTCATTTGTTATAATTGAAGGAAAAAGGCTTCACCTAATTAAGAAAACACCAATTATCAGTAGCTATAAACTCAAAAATAAATATTTTAAAATATATATATGTATAAGCAAAAGACCACTTGAGTAAAATGTTCCAAAAGAGTTAGTTTTAAAAAATGTTCATTTAAAACTTTTACATTTCTGCTTCTTTTCTTTTTGGGAGCATTAGTTACTGATATGGAAAGAAGATTTACAACCATTTTTAACTTTTTTAATACTAAAGGTTTATGGTAAATAAGGCAGAAGCATTAGTTTATAAACTTCTATAAAATTTTTTTGTACCTTCATAGGTTATCTGTTACTCGGTTATCTGTTGCAGTCACTATAAATCTTTTCTTAGTTGAACACCTTTCCTGGAGTTGTAGTAGAGCTGGAACTCCTATTTTCACATTGCTGTGAATGTCAATTGAATGAAAAGCTCAGTCCTCTAGACCCTAACATCTTCTTCTTTCTTTTAATATGGGATTTTCTTAGTAATCTTTGATCTGTAAGTTTCTTTTGCATAATTGATTTAGGACCTTAATGTGAAAGACCATTAATGTAAAAATGTTTTATAAATTGAGTTAAGTACAAATGTAGAATAAGATGAATGGTACTCCACTGCTTCCTTTTAAAATCTAACAGCTTTTTTGATACATCCATTTCATTCTTTTGAACCTCCTCATTACTAGTTCTCAGCTTCATTTTTTTCTATTTTCATACTTTCCTTCCTCCTTCCTTTTTCTTCCTGTCTTTGTTCAACCAGTGGCACCTAATAGCACCTATAGACATGATCTTACTAGGAGTTTCTGGATTAAAGTAGGAATTGACCTTTCCTATGGGCCATATAATAACATACATTCTATCTATATGTAATTACCACACAATTACTCATAAACTCTTCTCAAAAGGGAAATAGGTATTTTCTTTGAATCTATTTCCTTGTGTTTTGTAGATCTTGGAAATCTTGCCTCATTAAAGAGAATAAACAAAACATTTTAAACCAGCATTTAAAAAAAATTTTACCTGTATTTGTGACAAAAGATAGGACAACCTAAAATGTATGTGGCTGGACAACATTTTGATAGTGATACTTCTATACCTTGTAAGGAGCACAGGGTAGAGAAAATTTTGGTGGCAGTTTAATCTTTTCCTCAGGGTCAGGTTGTCAGTATGATTTCATTCTTTTGTATGAAATATTATGAATTGCCAAAATGATAAATACAACCTCCTCCACATGTACCAGAATGCATTCCACAGTAGAATTTGAATGGCTGAAACACCTCCATTGGTCCACTTAACAAAATATTTGACTGGGGATTAAGGGAAAATCATGACTGTCTCTAATCACTGTAAAGAATCATGACCACAAATAAATTGCATGAATCTGTTTGGAACTGTGAAATTAAAGATGAAAGCCACAGAGAAATGACAACCTCAAGTAGTCTCCATTAATGTTAAGAAATTACAGACTTAATATTTGGGTATGGGGAAAAGGTTGGATAGTTCTCCAAAGTTACTTTTTAAAAAAAATTTATTTTTTTAGTTATAGGTGAACACAGTATCTTTATTTTGCTCTACGTGGTGCTGAGAATGGAACTCAGTGCCTCGCGCATGCTAGGCGTGTGCTCTATCTCTGAGCCATGACTCCAGCCCCCAAAGTTACTTCTTCATGACATAAAAAACACAAGCTGAAAGTTTAGTTGCTTTGCTTGTCCTTTCAGGAAAATTGTTTGTTTAATAGCATAGGGGAGTGATCTCAGTGTGGAGTATAGTAAAAATTCAGGTGAAGTTTCTATATATTCATAAAGTTGAAGAAACACAAGACATTTATTTTGTAGGGATCCTAATGTCTTTTATCATATAAATATTACACAAGGAAAACTTACATCAAGTATCAAAAAAAAAAAAAAAACTTTACAATCTGTACATTTTTTTTCCCTTGCAGTTCTTTTACATTATACATCTTTAGACAGAAATTCACAAATGGTCAGGGAAAAGGTGAGACAATTAACAAAGAAAAGGAGAAGTGACATTGCTATATTTAAAAAAAAAAAAAATTTCCTTGTTTTGACAGATCTATTTGTCCCCAAATTTATTTCAAGTGAATGTGAGAAACAAAAATTTGCAACCTAGGTTTGATAAACAAAAACTTGTTTCAGATTATTTCTATAGATTCCACCAGACCCTGTAACTCAACATGAATAATATTAACTTATACAACATAATTTGGCTCTTGCTGAACTGTAAAAACCTGTAATGAAATTATTACCTTCTATTCATTTTAATGGTAGACTGTGCAGTGCTTGAGACTATCTAGTCATAATTTGACTAAGGGGACTATGACCTTTTGAATTCCTGCATATAAAGATTATTTACATTAAAAAATAATTTAGGGGGTCTTTATTTTGGATGGGAGAGTAAGAAGAACGAAAAAATTTGTTTCTGTGACTCTTTAAAAAATTGAGTTACACAGACTTTTTGGTCTTTATAAGAGGAAAATAATAGTGAAGAATACAATTTTAAAATTTGTCACAAATGCATATTTGTTCCATATAAACTATGTAACAGTGCTATAATGAGGTGGTAGACCTGAGTAACCCTGCTTTGAGGATTTCTGATTTTGGACTTAGAAAAAATAAATTTGTGTGTAAAGTGATTTTTTAAAATGTAATGAAACACTAACTGTAAGCTAGTTCTGTGTCAGTAAAACTCAGTACAAAGAAGTGTTCAGATGGAAAGTAGTTTTTCCATAAACTATTTGAGTGATCTGAATCCTCCAAGTAGGCAACACAGGGTGTGTGTATGCGTGTGTGTGTGTGTGTATACACTTTGCATTGTTATGAAGACTTGGTACAACTAGCTTTAGGTTTGAGACTTTCAGTTGTTAAAATTATATTCTTGGTAGTTGGTTATTTTGTGTAGGAATTGCAAGTCAGCCTGATACCTGGCTTTCCAAGCATGAAAATCCCACCCCCCACCACCAAAAATGGTTATATGATTTTTAAAAATGGAACTAAAATAAGGCTGATATGGAGTTTGTGAATACTTGGCTAGGCAACCAAATGATCCCATTTATCATTAATCATCATATTAGGGTACTCCTGGGACTGTTGTTATTTTTGCCAAACAATAACAATTTACATTTAAGCAGTTTCTTCATCTTCTAACAGAACTATATATTTATGAATTTGAAACAAAAAGTCACATTTGTGAATAAATGACTAAAGGTTGTTCAATTCACTTCCACATTTTTGAAGGAAAAAAAAGTCCCAAGCCACATGCATATCTGATATTGTATATACATGTTATGTACATATGTACATGCTGTCAACTATTATTTAAGCCACTAATCTAATTAGCTTATTTCTAAATAGTATTACTAGTAAAGACAGTTTAAGCACAAATTCAGAGGACTTTAAAAATTGTTTACTTAAAAGATAAAGATGGAACATGATTTAAATATACTTCAGAGACTGTTTCTTAAAAAACCATAAATTCCTAATTCTATCCACTGTAGAATATATGAGGACAAACATGTTTACATTGTTTTAGCTCATTAAGCCAGTCATGTATGAGATGGGAATAGCTTGTTTCCAGGTATTGGATTTGATTACCTATAATGACTTAAGACTAGAACAATGAGTTGACCTGCAGACCTGCAATTGGATAATGTTGTGTTGTTTACTAGGTCCCTAAAAAGCCATGGCTGCATTTCTGGAAATTTATTTCTAGGTAGATATGCTCGTGTGTATGAGCACAGTGAGAAAGGAGGGGAAAGAAGCTAATTGATTAGGTCTGAGGTAGTGAAGCAGAAATCAGATTCACAAGGAGTGCTGGCATGTAGGAGTCAATCTGCTTTGGAATTGGGTATTTTTTCATTATGAACAAAAAAGTTGGGTAGAACAAATTAAATTCCTTAGTTTATAGAAAACTCAGGGAAGGAAGCAAATTCATTTTCCAGAGATTTTAGTTCTCAAGAAGAATCAGTTGAGCATGCCACATGAGATGCTACCCTATCAGGAAACTGTAATCATGTTTTAGCACACTTTTGGTGTTAGTCCCAGAAAGGGAAAAAAGTTTTAGTATGAATACCAAAAGTTTCTCATTCTTCAGCTTTCCTCCCCTTTGAGCCAACTGATTAAAAGAGGAAACTGTGCTACAGATTAGGAATCTTTTAGGTAAAAACAAATAACAAAAACTGCTTTTCCTTTTTAAAGTACCCTCTTTAAACAATCCATGTAAGGTTAATCAGTGAAAGAATAGATCTCCAGTACACTCATCTACAAATTGTGCTTCTTGAGTTTCTGGGCTAAGAACAGTCACCTTGCTCCATTTGTGCTAAGACATGATTGGTTTTTTCAAGCTGGAGAGATTCTATTTTCTTCTGTGCATATTTCAGCTGGATCTTTAGGGCATCATTATCTGCTTTCAGGGTATTTATTTCCTAAAGGGAAAGGAGAATAAGGTATGTTAATAAAGCAGCAATGAATAGGAAATCAGTTAAAGTATTGGAAGCACTACACTTGATTGGCATCTCCTATTCACTTTGGTTGAGAATTAAAAATAGTTATTTTGCCCTGAATATAAAATAACATGTAAATATTAAATAAGCATGTACAAACAGCAATTAGTCTTTGTTATCATATCACAGATGTGAGTGGCTAGCAAGCAGAATAAACCATTCCTGGGCAGTGGGTGGAGGATGACAAAACCTTTAGACATTGTGTAGTAGATCTTAACTTGGCAGAAAAAAGAGTCTGGTGAGATCTGAGCTGTGAAAGAAGTGCTTGCAGATTCTATGTTATAGTTTATTTAATCTAAGACCCTCTCCAAGTCATTGAAACTAGTATATCCTTTTGATGAAGATAAAAATTTTTACAGCACCCCCTAAACTGGGATTTAGTGATCTAATTTGTAGAGATTTAATTACAGAGTCATCAGTTTATTTCCAAGCTTCTGATTTTGAAGCCAGTGTTCATAGATTGCATTGCACTGATTACACCAAAAGAATATGTGGGTGGTGTCTGGACAATTAAGGGTAAATTGGGTTGTTTTTCAGCCTGAATTACCTGGTTTGCTGTCCATTGGCTACCATATAATATTGAGTATGTACTTGTGCTTTCTTACATGATGACAGACTATCTTAACCCTCCACTCACTCTGAAAATAGGTGGTAGATCTAGATTTTAATAGAAGCAGAAAACATTGCTATATAGTGTCAGACTGGAGATTGGAACTTGGGTACAGGTGACCCAAGAAACGTTGCTTTTACTTTTGTCCCATGCTGATTCAGAGGTACATGTAGACTAAAACAACATGTCATATTTATTCATACTTCTATTCATATATTACATGCTACTTTAAAATACTGGTATAATTTAACTAGTTTCTTGTGGATAGAATTGTCAAATTACAAACAAGTCTTTATAAGGATTTTATTTAATTGAAAAGTGGGACACGTTATTGTTACTCTAAAATGTACCTACTGAAGTCTCTTTGGCATGGGTAAAAATAAAGAGAGCAACCATGAAAATGTTTAGGAGGTTTGCTGGCCCTGGGTAGGAATTATCCTGGACCTAATTTATCTGAAATCTTTCTGCTAGCTATATTATTCAGTTCATAGGCATGTAAAATTTCAAGATTTGAAACCTTAGCATGCAATTCCATTTTTGTATTTTACAGAGGACCAAAGAAACATCTAGGATTGGAAACAAATCTTTGCCTCCAATACCAAAGTCCTTTTAACTTTATCAAGTTTATTTTTCAAGCTTTCTTTCACTGTTTATAAAACTTCTGTTTGGTAACCTTTACCCCTAAGGAGAAAGGGCTTTGTGTAACCATGGTTGGTCACTTGATTCCTAAAGTGAATCTTAATACTTTAAATAAGAAGTCTTCCCTTTTATCCAGGAAATCTCTTGTTTTGTTTTCTATGTTTTTCCTAATATTATGTTCTTCATTCCAGGCATCAAATCAAGAGTTTTGCAAACATATCTAACTTGTTTCTTCAAAAGTTTCTCTAATTCTGTTCTGTGGAGTCTGACAGGGAAGGTGTGATGTTGAGAACAGTGCCTGGAATCCTGAGGTCGGCTGGGCAGTTTCACTGTATAGTCTGTAGATTTAGATAAGGAATTCTAACTAGGTGGATGTTTGTACTGCTATATGTCTCCCAACATATATTGCAAACCTTGATGTTTTGGGAAAAGGCAGACAAGCACTCCTCCCCTTTAATAAAATGAGGGATAATGTTAAAACGAATATATCCTTGCTTCCTTGTTTCTAAAATGGCTTATTGCCTATAATTGGCACTGTTGTTCTTCCCTTTCTCTCTCCCCTCCTTTATTCTATTAGTAATAATCTGAGTTGAATCTTCAGAATCTTCAGTTTACACGTTCTGCCCTGTTTAGTTGTACTTTACCACAAGACTCTGAAAAATAGTGAAATGAACAGGTACCTGTTCCAGCTCTTGGTAGGTTGGGAGTCTGAGGTGACGGAGCTCTTCTTTTGATTTTATGAGGGATTCTTTATTTTCCCACTTGACAAAAGCCCGCTTTCTGACCAAGACTGGGCTGGGGCATGGAGATGTGGGACTGGGAAGCACATAAAGGGTGTCCTGGGCTGTCCTCCTTGGAGAAGACAACACAAATTGACCTGAAGGGCCCTCACTGCCAATCCAAGGAAGTGACTCAGTCTGGGTGGTCTTGTGGGCAACAGTTCTCTTCAGACGAACAGAAATCTTCTGTGAGGACACTCCCATCAACATGATTGTTCGGTCCTTACTCTCCTCACTGTGTTCCACCATTTCCCCATTAGGGAATGTAAAAGAGCCTTCCTCAGGTGCTATGGGAAGACACACAGTGAGTTAGTATTCTCAGAAAAGCAGAGACTCAAGATACTCACACGAGTTTCACATGAGACATGTCTTGCTATTACAGGAACTCCCCATTTCCAAATAGCCTTCATTTGCAGGTATCCATGCAGGGGGTAAGTGGAGGCTGAAACCCAGGGATTTCAAACTACAGCCTTTTTTCCTGTTTGTAAAAAGGTTGCCTGGAGAGTTAGTGTTTCTGCAGGTAAGTTGGAATCCCTGTTTGAATGCTGCAAAGTTTCATCAATTCAGAAAAGATCCCATTTGTATAATAGACACAGCTTAAATATGAGGGAAAAGTTAGCTTTGTGGAAGTATGTTCCAAAATATATCACTCTTGTTTGATATTGATGCAAAAGAACAGATGTGTCATTCTGGGTCTTTTCATTGAACCAATATACCTCCCTAGGACCCAGCATGGAAATGTTAACCATAAAGAGAATTTCCTAGAAAAGTAGAGTATTTGAGATGAATGGTAGGCTTTAAGGTAAACTGCATATCATCTAAGTTTATCGTTTGCAAAGACTCAGCACTAAGTGTGGGTTTTCTGAAAAGTCCTATTATGTCCTAGACAACACTTTACACACAAATTTTGGATTGTTTCATTAAATGGGGATGAAAAAATCCTACCTTCCAAACTTTGGGGAATGATATGACCATGTGAAAGTGTACATTTGTATTAAAGTTTTTGGTTTTTTTCCTGTTATAGATTTTTTAGTTAAGACACTGGATTTAATCCCGGGCCTTACAAATGCTAGGCACTGGGTTACATCCATCCCAACCTTTTATTTTCTTATGTTTTTATTTTGAGTCAGGGTCTTGCTAACTTGCCCAGGCTGGCCTCAAACTTGATCCTCCTACCTCAGCCTCTTGAATAGGTGGGATTTTAGGTATGCCGCCAAACTTGGCTTATTTTCCTACTTTTTAAATTAATGCATATTAAATGTACATATTGATGATCGATCATGTCCAACTACCCATTCTTCTACCCTCCTCCTGACCCCCACTTCTTAGTCCCTAGTAATCACTATTCTACTTTCAAGTCAACTTTTTTTTAATTTACACATACGAAAGATAATATGCAATACGTTTCTGTGTCTGGCTTATTTTGATTAACATGTTATCTTCCTGTTTTATCCATTTTGCTGCAAATAACAATTTACTTTTCCTTATGGCCTAATAACATTCAGTTGTGTTCATATACCATATTTTCTTTATCCATTCATCTTGGCAGTCACCTAGGCTGGTTCCATATCTTTGTTACTGTGAATAGTGCTGCAGTAAGTTTGGCAGACTGGTATACTTTTCATTTGCTAGCATCATTTTCTTTGGATATGTGCCAAGAAATGAGATACCTAGATTATATGGTAGTTCTAGTTTTAGTTTTTTGAGGAACCTCCATACTGTTTTCTGTAATGTTTGTAGTCATTGACGTTCCCCTTAACAGTGTATAAGAGTTCCTTTTTTTAACATATCCTTTTTAGCATGTGTTAGAGTTTTTTTTTTTTTTCAATTGTTATTCTAACTGGGATGAAATGGTATCTCATAGTTTTGATTTGCATTTCTCTAGTGGCTAATGATATGGAACATGTTTTAATATACTTATTGGCCTTCTATAATTCTTCAGAAAAGTACTCAGATAATGTGTCCATTTTTTTTAACTTAGATTATTTGTGGGTTTTTTGTAAAGTTTTTTAGGTTCTTTATATATTCTGGATATTAACTAGATAAACAGCTGGAAGATTTTTTTTTGCGTATTATCTCTTCACTCTTTTTTTCTATACAGAAGCTTTTAAATTTGATGTAATAAGGATTGCTTTGGCTATCTGGGGTCTTTTGTGCTTATGTATGGATTTTAGGATTATTTTTTTCTGGTTCTGTAAAGAATGCCATTGATGTTTTGATGGGATTACATTGTATTTGTAATGTAATGGACTGGAAGAATATTGTTAAAGTGTCCATGCTACCCAACATCATACAAAAATCCTCAACAAAATAGCATCTCAAATTCAACAGCACATCAGAAATATCCTACAAAGATGGTTCAACATTTGCAAATCAGTAAACATATCACAAACAGAATGAAGGATAAAAATTATTATGATCAACTCAATATTTGCAGAAAAAGCATTTGATTAAAATTCAATATCCTTTCATGGTAAAAAACATTGAACAAATTATATTATAAAGTATATATATGACTGGCCCCCTTATACGTACTTTTGCCTGATTGCTCTAAAACTTCTAGTACTTATTGAATAAGTGAGAGTAGTTCCCATTGTCTTGTTCCTGATCTTAGAGAAGATGCTTTAATTTTATCCCCACTGGTATGAAGTTGGCTGTGGGCCAGTCATATATATACTTTATAATATTGAGATACGATCCTTCTGTACCTAATTTGTTCAAGGTTTTTACCATGAAAGGATATTGCATTTTAATCAAATGCTTTTTCTGCAAATGTTGAGTTGATCATGATTTTTATCCTTCATTCTGTTTATGTGATATATTTATTGATTTGTGAATGTTGAACCATCTTTATATACTTAGAAGGAAACCAACTTGATCATGGTGTAGGATATTTTTGATGTGCTGTTGAATTTGAGATGCTATTCTGTTGAGGATTTTTATATTGATATTCCTCAGGGATATTGGTCTGTAGTTTTTTGTTGTTATGTCCTTGTCAGGTTTTAGTGACACAGTAATGCTAGTCTTAGAGAATGTATTTGGCAGGGCTCCCTCTCTTTTAATTCTGTGGAACAATTTGAGAAGCATTGGTGTTAGTTCTTTAAAACTTTGTTGAATTCAGCAGTGAAGCTTCCAATTCTGGGATTTTCTTTTTTGGGAGATGTTTGTATTTGTGTTTTTTAACTGATTCTGTCTCATTACTTGTTATAGGTTTGTTCAGGTTTTGTATCCTGTTGGTTCAGTTTTGGTAGGTCATATAATTTTTTCTATTTCTTCTAGATTTTCCAATTGGTTAACATGGTTTTTTCAAATAATCCTTAATAATCCTTTGTATGTCTGTAATGTCAAATGTAATGTCTCCTTTTTTACTTCTAATTTTTTTTTATTTGGGTTTTCACTTTTTTCTTAGTTTATCTAAAGGTTTGCCAGTTTTGTTTATTTTTACAAAGAACCTTTTGAATAAGTGATGCTTTGTTATTTTTTTATTCATTTATTCATTTATTTCTGCTGATTTTTTCCCCTTAATTTTTGGTCTGGTTTGTTCTTTTCTAAGCCTTTGAGATACATCATTAGGTTGTTTATTTGAAATTTTCTTAAAAATTTTTTTTTTAATGTAGGCATTCATTGCTAGAAATTTCCATGTTAGTGCTGCTTTTGCTGCATTCCACAGGTTTTGGTATGTTGTGTTTTCATTTTCATTTGCTTCAAGAAATTTTTAAATTTCCCTTCTGACTTCTTCAGGGTCTCACTGTTCATTCAATGTGTTGTTCAGCCTCTGTGTACTCATATAATTCTAAAGTTTCTCTTATTGCTTCTTGTTTTATTCCACTATGACCAGAAAAGATATGTGGTTCAGGTTTTTTTTTTTTTTTTTTAATTGTTAAGACTTGTTTTGTGGCCTTGATAGTACTTGATCTATTCTAGAAAACATGTTCTGATGAAAAAAATCTGTAATTTGAAGCTGTTGGAATGTTCTATAAATGTCTATTAAGTCCATTTGATCTATAATAGAATTTAACTCTGATGTTTCTTTGTTGATTTTGAGGGGGTTAGTATCTGTCCATTAATGAGAGTGAGGTATTGTACTAGAGCCTATCCTGTTAGATCTAATTGTGTTTATCTTATTAAATTGGCTGCTCTGGCATTTGATGCATATAGATTTACAATTGCTATATTTTCTTGAGGACTTAATCTTTTAATCATTATATAGTGAGCTTATTTGTCTCTTTTTACAACTTTTAAAGTTTATTTTGTCAGAAATATAAGTACAGCTATGCCTCCTTGCTTTACAATTCCATTTTCTTGAAATATCATTTTCCATCCTTTCACATTAAGTCTGTTTATCTATACTAGTGAGGTGAGTTTCTTGTAGGCAGCATATTGTTGGGTCTTGTTTTTATTCACTCAGCCAGCCTGTATATTTTAATTGGAGAATTTAGTCCGTTTACATTCAAGATTATTGAAAGATAAAGATTTGTGCTTGTCATTTTGTTGAGTTTCTTCTAGTTGTTTTGCATATTCTTTGTTCTTTTCTCCCTCTTTTAATCATCTTTGTGATTTGATGGTTTTCCATATTGTAATGGTTACTTCTTTTCTGTTTCTTTCTTGTGTATGTACTCTTCCAGTGGGATTTGAATTTAATGCTATCATTATGGTAGTCATCTTTCTTTCACTTAGGGATATAGGACTCCCTAAAGCATCTTTTGTAAGGCAGGTCTGTTGGTCCAGAATTCCCTGATTTTTTTCATCTTAGAAGGTCTTTGTTTCTGAAGGATATACCTTTGCTGGGTATAGTAATCTCAGTTGGCAATTATTTTCTTTGAGAACTTGGAATATTTGTTCCCTCCTGGCCTATAGGTTTTCTGCTAAGAAATCTGTTAGTCTAATGGGGGAACTCCTTAAATGTGACTGGGTGCTTTTCTCTTGAGATTTTAAAGTTACTTCTTTGTCCTGTATTTTTGATAGTTTGAATATAATGCCATAGAAAATATCTTTTCTGATCTCCTATTTAGAGTTCTATAAACCTCCTATACACGGATGTCCATATCTTTCCCTAGATAAGGGCAATTTTGTGATTTTATTCATTTAATAAGTTTTCTACCCCCATTAACCTTCATTTCCTCACATTGAATGTTCCAGTGATGCAGATGTTTGATTGTTTAATGTTGTCTCAAGACTCGAATGCTCTCTTCTTTTTTTTTCTGTCTAAATGTGTCATTTCAAAAGACTTGTCTTTAAGCTTTGATGTTCTTTCTTCTCCTTGATCTACTGTTATCACGCTTTCAGCTGAATTTTTTATTTCATTTATTGACCTCTTCATTCCCATGATTTCTGTTTGGTTCTTTTTTAGAATCTCTATTTATTTGTGGAATTTCTCATTCATATCCTACATTTTCTTCCTACTTTAGCTATATAGCTATATTTTCTTGGATCTTAGTAAGCTTTTAAAAAAATCATTCTTTTGACCTATGAGGCATTTAATCCATTTTAGTTTCTATGGACTCTGTTACTAGAAAGATATGATCTTTTGGAGGGTGTCATAGTACCTTGTTTTTTCATATTTCTTGTGTTCCTCTGTTGAAATTTGTCCTTCTGGTAGATCTGACATCTCTACCACTTTTATGGAATAGCTTTCTTTATAAGCAGCTTTCTCCTGAAATGTGTCTTAGGGTATTGGTTTGTTATGAAATGATGACTTTATTTCCAGCTGGGCACCATGGTGTAGTCTCCCTGAAGTTTCTTTGGCTGTGATTAGTGAATGTAGACACTGTGTTCAAGTCATAGAGACCCATTGTCTCTGCAGCTCATGCAAGAATGGGACACACTAATGGTTCAAGTCAGGTATGGTATAGACAACATAGAGTGTGGGTTGCACACTTTGTAGCTACTACCGCTATAGAAGTGGTGGCCCCTGTTATATGATAGAGGTTTGCTCAGGCACTGGTGATACTGGCTTTGTTACTTGTAAGAGTATTTGGTATTGGTTGCATCAGTTCTGACACGGGACCTGAAGTACTTGACTTCTGATCAGACAGTGGTATTGACCTAGGTGCTTCACCAGGATAGATGGGGACAGGAATCATAGCAACCCCTCCATGGAACTTACACCCAGTTCTGCCAGCAGTGTGTGATCAAATAAGGTGCAGGGGTAGCCAGTGGTGGAAAGGTTTGTAGTGTTTCTGTCTGCTACTACTGTGGCATGCCCACCTAGGAGCAGGAACCCTTAGTTATGTGCCAGGGGACTGGGTGACAGCTGGGGCTTTGCATCCCCTTACTCTTTAGCTATAGTTTCTACCAGGGAGTGAGTAGAATTGTGTCCCAGTTGAAATTAGGCAAAATTTCTCTCAAAGTCTCCCTTGACTTGTGTGCCAAGGAACAGAGTGACTGCCAGGGTGACCCCTCAACTCTGTCAGCAGAAGGCCCCCATGAATAAGGGCAGAACATGGCTGGTGCCAGGCAGTTTCTATCTAGACCTCTTTAGGTCATGTTGGGGGGTGGGGAGGAACAGCTGGAGTGCTCCATAGCTCCATGAGTGTGGTGGTACACACCTATAATCCCAGTGACTTGGGAGGCTAAGGCAGGAGGGTCCCAAGCTTAAGATCTGCGTCTGCAACTTAGCTGCTTTGTCTTAGGGGGCTGAGGATGTAGTTTAGTGGTAGAGGAGGTCCCCTGGATTCAATCCCTAGGCTTACAAATAAAAAAGAAAGAAAAAAGCCCAGCACACAGCAGTGGAACCACAGCTCTTTCCTGTTAGTGATGGGCTCATCTGCTTTCAGTCCTGGTACAGGTGTGAATCTGCATGCAATTGGTCATGCCCCTGGGCTAGCAGGGCAGGCTTCCTGATTTCCTGGTTCTTGAGGGCAGTACCTTCTGTTTCTGTGTAGCAATATCCATCCCCTGCTGTGCAGGGCACTCAGCAGATTTGAATCGGAGACACTCTACTGAACCGCATTTGGTTCATGAGGCAGCTATGAACTGAATCATTGCAGTGGAGTGTCTATGAGGTTCCCAGAATTGGTCATATGCAAGGTTTTCTGACCCTTAGAGCAGTCCAAATTCAAACAACAGTTCCCTTCTTAAGATGGTTTCTTGCTGCAACATTCTGGAGGTTCACTAGGAAGTCTGCTGTACAAATCTCAGGTTACACTCCGTAGTTAGACTGCAATCCTTAGAGGGTTGTGAAACCCTCCGTTAGCTAGGATTGCCAGTATCTGTACCGATAAGAGTTTTCTGGAACTTTTTCACCTTTACCCCTGCATAGGGGAGATTTCCCTTCTCCTGACTGTGGAGCCATGTGGCAAGTGTTGGAATATTTGTTTCTCTTACTCTGCTGCTGTTCTTCATCTCTGAATCTTACAAGGTTTTTGTTTTTCTTATTTCCAGTTTACTCCCACATTCACTGTATTGAAAATGCAGCTGTATACCTGTTATATTGGTTCTTTATGGAGGTGCAGGTGCTAGGTGCCTCTATTTAGCCATCTTGAACTCCCCTATTTTACTTTTCTTTAACCCAGTTATACTATTTTTACCAATCACATTTCCCCAATTATGAATATAACATCTATTATTTTGTTCAAATTCCTATACATACAAGCAGCTTAGAATAAAAGAAGACAAATAAGAAAAAAGCAACAGAAACTAAAATTACAGAAAGAGTTCCAAGACGCTGCCGTGTTATAAAAACCAAAAGAGCTATAAATTTCAAGAAGTGAAAATTCATCCATAAAAAAAAATTTACAGTGAGGTAATGGGCTAAGGAAAAGTCATTGGCAATTTTGATTTGATAAGAAGGTGTGCTATCCCAGAAAATAATTATTAATGCTAAGATGGAAGCAGTTTGAATGGAGGATAATAGTCTCTCTTTTCTGTACTCCTGTCATTTGTGTCACTGCAGTCTATTTGACTCTTGGCACATACCCTTCTGCGTTGTTTCTAACCTGCTCCTTGTTTGTATAGTATCTTTGCTAAGTAGACAGAGGCAGACATTTCTGCTGCTTTGCAATTTGGACCTGGGGAATCTCAGAGACAGTTTAAAAATCACTTTCTTATTCTATTATTTGCATTTTAACACAAGCACATTTATATCTCAATTGTTGAAATTTTTGGCTTAGTCCTAGGATTGCTTAGTCCTTGTATGATTTGGAATATTAATCTGCAAATTTGTCTTGAGAGTTTTGCTTATTCTCTTCCTTTTGTGTCTACTATTCTATTTCTAGAATTTTGACAGTTATTTCCTTCTGTCCTCATTGAGTCCCCAGTCTAAGACCAGGTCTTAATGGTTTGGGGTTCCTATCCTGGAAAAAAAAAATGGGAATATCACAGGTAGCCACTCATAGTGGATGGCCTTGCCTGTAATTAATGATAGCCTTAAGTGACAGTTGCAGTTTTTTTTCTGTCTCCTATCTCAGTTTTAAGTAGTGAGTCTGGTTCTGTTCACCTTTTATGCAAAGGTGGTCTCTGTTACTCTGCAGAAATAAAATTCTCAGCCGCATTTGCCTGCTTCTGCAAATGGAATCAAGAAAACCTATGGCTTCAGTTTTCACTTCTTATAGTATGTTTTCACTACATTTCTGAGTAGTAGAAGAGTGACTAGCTCCTCTTTGATTATTCCTTTTAAATTAATATACTGTTTATAGATCATGTTATATATACATGCACATTCACCTTACTGTTTTTAGGTTTGGGGGTGGAGTAGGACAATTGTTAACTTGAAGCACTATTTTGGCCAGAAATCAATGTCTGCACTTGGTATAGGTGCTCAGCAAACACTAGCGACTCCTGATTTCTATGCCTACCCTGCACTATTATTCTAGTACCCTTATGTCTGAGATATAGGCAGGGAGCTGAAACTCAAAAATGTGGCAGGGATCAGTCCTGGTCTAGCAGTAGAGGTTAAGGTTTACTGAAACTTGGACATGCAATCATGAGGTGATCTTTCCTACCCATACACTCCACTCTTCCTCTATATTTTCCAAGATGAACATTCCCAGTGCTTACTTACCATGGAGCAGATCTTTGGCTCCCAGTGAGCAGAGGTTGGGCACTGGCCCCACAGAGGTACTATTCTCAGTGGAAGGTGCTTGGTTCTTGGCTCGCTTCTTGCATTCGAAAACCACCAGGTCTTTGCATTGTTTGTGGCAGTTCATCCCACAGTCTGTGGACAAGAATCCCTAGTCAGGAAGTCTTTCTGTTTCCTCCAGGGTCTCACAACCAAACTCATCCAGTGGTCTCTTTTTCAAACATGTCTATCCTATCTTCTGGAGCTAGGATACCTAACATTCCCCATGAACCCAGCATTCTTCTCTCTTGATAAACCTTGGGCCTCACAAGCTGATCATATCCCTTATTTGTGAGTCTCAGAATCAAAAGCAGAATACCTTGGAGGGAAGAGATGGTATCCAGGTCATCCTGCACACTCTGCCTACTCTAGGGAGATCCCCTGGAAGCCCCCAGCTGCTAGGTCTTAACTTTTTCTTTCTTGCATTAAAAAAATAAAAATAGAAATAAAACTTTCTCCCTTTCCTGAATTATCCTACTCACAAGGAAGGACACTTTAGGTTCTGAGATATCTGCTGATAAAAGGAAACCTGATAATCATTTATATCATATTCCAGAAGGGATTATCCTTTTTATTGGGAATCCACCCTTCCATGAGAGTATGAAAACAGTCTCTTATCAGCTGCTCCTATTTTCAGAGCAGTCAAGATAGAGAGAGGATCTTGTAAAGGCAAACTATGTCACAGGTCACCCAGGTATTCCTCTCTCCTGTGTGATGGCAGTCCCTCTCAGAGTGCTCTTGGGAAGCCAATTTGAAAATGAGGTTCTGTCTCTACCAAGAAGTTGTGGACTTCATAGACGAGTACTGCTATTGAGAGTCCCTCAAACTAGGGAGAACAATGTGGCCAACAAAGCTGAGTCTTACCTTTACATCGATATCCTTGTTTGATCACTCCCCAGAGCTAGGAGACAAATGAGAATATACATGTCATTCATCTATCTGGTGTGAGGCTACAGGGTAACACTCATTCATTTTCCTTCACTCTACTCTCTAGCTTAAATAGAAAGGACACCTATTTTATTTCTTGTCTTGTTCCTCAAACCTTAAACTGAAAGCAGGAAAAAGCATTGTTGGCCAAGCTTGACTAGTGTTTTTATGATCCAGGCCTTCTGCAGGCCTGAAATGGATGAATCAAGAGCAACAGGCTGCTCTGAACTCCATACTGACAGACAAGGATATGGTCTTGGATCAGGAACCTGGTTTAGAGGACATTTATTGGGTCAGGGTGGGACAGAGGAGGGGAGAGCTCGGGTGAGCTCTTAAAGGCAGGTTTTATGTTTTGTTTTGTTTTGACAGGGGAAGGAGGTATCTAATATTTTTTCTAGCATTTGAAACAGCACATGAATATGATACTTCGAAATGTATATCCAAAGTCCACCATTGTTGTACCATTATTCCAGGCCTCATTTACCAGGAATAAGAAAAAGTGAGAAAAAGAAAGACAAGGTGAACACAAATAAAATCCATACACTTGAGGACTAGGTCCTTCTCTGTGTTGCTTGGGCACTAAGCTGGGATAAGTTTGTAAGGATTGTGAAGCCCATGCCTGTCTTACTCACTTAAATGTACTGTACGCTTCACCAAGTTCAACCCTGATACAGTCTAACAATAACTTACAAATCCAGCACAGTTGTCGCAGAAAGTGGGCTTCAGGTAGGTGGTCTCTTGGAAGTTGTGAGGAAAGCCCAGGCCCAGTTTAGAGTAGATAGAGCTGGCCCTCATGAAGTAGGCTGTAATCTCATCCCTGCTGATGAGGCCTTCCCTGCCAGCACATGACAGGCAAGTATGTGAGTTGAGGCACAGGTGGCTTCTAGGCTTAGATACTCACCTTTTATCATCAGTGGCAATACAGTGTGTACTATGTGTTGATTGCTTCCACAAGCCCTCCTCATCCTAAGAATAGTGATGAGGACAGCATGGAATAAGTAGGTAAAGCAGGTTATTCAGTCCCAGAGCCATTCTTTGGCTAGACGAGGTAACTGACTTTACCACTATCTACAAGACTTGAAAAATAAATGATGTAAAATTTATTTCTAGAGAGGAAAAATGACTTATGTTATAGTTTCTGACTTTAGACAGTATATAACTAGAACCCACAGCCATATATTTGGTTTCTCATAAAGAATTATAATAGAAGATAATAACTGAGAAAAGTAAATATGCAAAATGTGAATAAATATTAGTTCTTTCCCATAATTTGTAAGATGAAACAAGAAGGAAGATTGAACTTTTTCTTATTTGTAGTTGGCTCTTCCTAAGATAGCAGATTTATGGAATCTTCAATTTCGAGATATTTTTAAAAGCATGAATACTTCATGGTCTGTTGTCCAAACTGAAGGCAAAGAGACCTTCAGTTGATGACTCTTTTAGCTCCAGTATTCATTATATAATCATAGCAGCAACACATACGAGTTTACAGGTTCTTCTAGTGAAACACTCTATAAACCTGTTCTCATCAGCAGGCTCATAACAACATATTCCTGTACATACATCCTCACCTGTCTTTGTCCATCACACAGAAGGAAAATGGAAAACTGGCAGCAATCTTTTCAAACTCTTCCTGAGAAATGTATCCATCCTGGTCATGATCATAGTTCTTGAAGACAGACTGAAAAAAAGGTATGTCTGTGGTGATTACTATAGAGAAACCTATAATCTCCCTTTAGCCAAGTGAAAAAGGGGCTGGGGCAGTTGGGACAAGCCTTTTGACAGCCTGAATGAGAGGAACAAGGAAACAAAAACTGAACCCTGGATAAGCTGAGATAGAACCCATTCCATGAGCTGTGGCAAAGATGCACAGGTTGCTTCCCAGGTCTTTGCCTTTAGGGGTGGCCAGGTGCTCTTGACAATTAGCAATCAGCTGTGCCATTGCACTGCTAGTCCACTGCATAAGGGGTGTTCTCCCTCCACCCTGCCCTTCTGTCATCACTCAGCTCAGATTACGCCTTTTCTGAGAAGCTCCTATGAACAGTGGAGTTGGAAGTGCTTTCTCCCTACTTTAATCCTCTGTTCCTCATTGTTGTGCTCTTTGACTTCTCTTGTTAAACAAAAATGGCCCATAGTAATACAGGCAGAAGTATGCAAGTATGGAGCCCCTCCTCTGCAGTTAGCATGGAGAATTGAACCAAGTAGGGCCACAATGCTCAGTTTCAGATTCTTGTTACCCTTACTATACTCAGACCTTTCCCAATTCCTCTTTGCCCCTGTCAACCAGCTTTCAGACTTGCTTTCTTGCTAGGCCTTTAAGGAGAGTCAGACCTGCCTCATATGAGACCAAAGTGCTAGCAAATTATACCTTCTGAACCATTCCTTAGTTACAGTATGAGAATAGGGTCCTTGTGCTCCTGCAGGAATGAGTTTCGACTTTCTCACCTTTGTGTTTCTGTCACTGTGCTCCCCTCATCCTTGCCCCCACACAAAACTAATGCCTTGTTTCTGTCTGTTGAAACAGAGGTACTTACATCCACCATCCTCTGGACGTGTTTGCTAATGGTCTTTGGGTCTGGTTTGGGAGATACTCCGGAGGCCCAGTCCACTACTACCGGTGGCTTTGAAGGTGTTAGTGGCTAAAATGAAATATTCAGAGAAATCCATAATTTGGAATTTCAACTTAGAGCCCCTTCCTTTCCCACTACCTGACAGTTCCATCTATAGATAAGCCCTGGCTGTGTGCAGTGGCATAGAGTACACATGTAACTGAAATCTGTACGAATAATCTTGATTAACAGTGTTGTGCTTTACAGTTCCTATAGTGCACTTCTCATACATTATCTCCAGCTACAGATAATTTAATATTCTCAATGTGCCCAAGTTTCATTCCTTTTCCATTAAACCCTTGTCAGAGCTGTCAACAAAGTAAAGTGAATCATTTAAATTTGCTCTATCCTGTAGTCACTTTTTAGTAGAGAGGTGAATGAGGAAAAAACTAGTAAAAAGGCATCAAGATACATAAGAGAAAAACAAAAACTGAACCCTGGATAAGCTTAGAATCCATTCCTAAATATTTGAAACTTAGCCCAAATTAAAATCTCCTCTAAAAACAGGAGAAATTCACCTTTTTACTGAAGTGTCTCTGACACCCTGAAAATAGAACCTACTAAATATTTCCAGTGAATATTTTTCATTACAATAGGAAGCTAGAACTTGATTTTTTTGTGTAGAGGCAGTGAAATCTAGCCCCTTTAAATAGATCAGCTGGATTTCTTATGTGCAGACAGCTATTCCCTTGAGGAGCACTGATTTTGGGGTTGGGAAACTTCCAAAGAGACTGAAATGATTTTACATGCCTGCAGGACAGACAGGGCCGATAACCTCGCTTTGAGGTTCCTAAGGTGTGCAGTTCCAGGACTAAGTTCTATTTTGAGGACTGCTGGACATTAAGAGGTCAGAAGACCCAGCAAACTGCTCTTTCTGTGAGGTCTGAATCTGACATAAGAAATAATGGGCCTATTCTACCTACCATGCCAGAAAACAGAAGTAAAGCTTCTCATTAGTATGCATATCTTCCCCCTCATTAACAAATCATAGTAAAACAACTTATGTGGGGACACTTTTCATAGGAAAATGATGTCACTCCAGTTCATAGTACTATCTCCCTTCTCTAATTTGTAAACCACTGACTGATTCCACCACTCAAGACGCTCTCATGGTATATAGTTTTTACTGTTCACAGTCATCCCTTCAACTCGATCACAAGCTGTTTATGAATAGCAATTGTGTGTCACTCATTTCGAGAAGCTTTCTCTGTTTCTAGCTCAAGGCTGTCACATAGAAACAATATACTTATGAAACATTCTTATGAATATCTTATGAAACAAAAAAATTCTGTTTCTTAAGATAAATTAACTTGAGGAGCAACTGGTAAAGTACCACCACACACCAGTTTTAATGTGAGAAACTCACTGGGGCTCTGTGGTTCCTTGGCTCTCGTGCATAGGAAAGCTCATAAATTTCATCTTCAGTGTAGTAGAGATCCAGAGATAACTGTGGATCAAAGCAGAACAGGGTTAATTGCTAGGATGCCATCTACTTACCCCAAGACTCATGTTCCTTTCCTGGTTCCTTTTCTCCAGTGGTTTAATCTTCTTGGCATGTAACAGTTTGTTTTAAAAATTCACAAAATTTGGCCAGTGTAACACCTGCTACTGCAATAGGGCAAACATTAGTTATTTCTTGTTAAATTGTTTTTAAATTTTGGAGAAGTCCCAGGATGCCCTCTTTTTAACTATGATTTCATATTTTTGGTTTAACATCTAAGCCTCTATAAGCCATCTAAGCCCCTGTTCATTTTGTCCAAGGCAGAGATCAGCCAAGGTCAGCAACTAAAGAGAAAGGGCTAGAACACCAAGATTCAGCCTGGGGTGCTATCGAAATGTTTCTGCAAGGTAGAAAGAGGTTATGGTCATTATTCATTTCACAAAAAGAATTGGGTTAAAACTTGTATAATTTTAGAACTGAGAGAGAAGTTAGAAGGTGTCTTGGAGACTAACCCCTCTGAATTCACAGAGGAAACAGACTTGGACAGTATGGGCCCATAGTCGCCCAATCAGTGAACCACAGAATTGCAGGTCTGGAAGGAAGGAAGCTCAGCTGTTGTTACCTCACACCCAAAATGCAAATCCTGGTTTCCACACCACTGACAAGAGTTCACCTACCCTTTGGCTTGGACATCTCCAGGAGCAGGGTTCTAAGCCAGTAGTAGCAGGACTCAAAGAACAAACCTGCCTGTTATACTCACTGTCTCCCCGTTTTTAGATAGCACACAGTTTCCTCTTGTTACCAATGCTATATCCTGATTTGCCCTGTGCTGCTCCTAAAGAGATTAAGACTGCTTTCATGGGAGTAAGGAAACACTCCTAGCAGTCCAAAAGGCACACTGCTCAAGAGAAAGGATCTCCCCATCTGGGTCTGCATCAAGGCTCTGATACGGAATAATGTGTGGTCTCTTGGCAGGTTATGTCTATGCCCCAGTACCCCATCCATAAAGTGGAAATAGTAGTTCTATTTCATAGAGTTTTTATGAGGCTTAACTGCTCATATTTGGCGAGGTGTACCGAATGAAGCTTGGCATACAAAAATTGTTCTCAAGTGTAAACCTCACCGTGAGCAGGTGCACCAAGTCCTTGTTGGCTTCCAATGGTGGGGCTACCTCCTGCAGCTGGACCAGTTCATTGATATGATTGTACAGAGCCAGCAGCTTGTGGACATTCACCTTCCCATCTTCCAGATAGTCGGGCATAGCTTCATACAGGGAAATGAGATCCTTGAGATGCACCCCCAGTATGGGGATCTTGAAGTGGGTGCACTCCCCATAGGCTCGCCTGTAGTTGTCATAATTTCTGCAGGAGGACAGCAGCTCAGTCATCTCACCCAGAACCTACAAAGTAGAACAGACCAGTCACAGGTGCTCGCTGAATATGGTATGTTGTCTGTAATGGCTGTCTTGCTTATTCTCATCCCCTGCCATGGTTTCACTCTATCCATAATTCATCTAAAAGGTAGAGATAGTGGCTTCCAAACTAACACTGGCTATATCAAGTGTCACAGAATACACTACACACTTTACTTGATTTTACTACATAACTTAAAGAATTTAAGTAGAGTTTAATTATTTTTGTATTCAAATTATTTCTTTTCAAAAATTAATAATATAAACACCTGACATAAAAATTGACGAGGCAGCCAGGAACAGTGACACACACCTGTAATCCCAGTGGCTCACGAGGCTGAGGCAGGAGGATCACAAGTTCAAAGCCAGCCTCAGCAAAAGTGAGGTGCTAAACAACTCAGTGAGATCCTGCCTCTAAATAAAATACAAAGTAGAGCTGGGGATGTGGCTCAGTGGTTGGCACCTGCGTTCAATGCCCAGTATACACAGACACACAAAAATAAAATCTGAAGATTTTTATTTATTGTAAGAGCTACATACAATAAATAACAAGTATCCCTTTAGTCCTGAGCCAGGGACACTGTAGTTCTTAACATTTGAAATGTGATGTCAGAAAGTGCTGCCTTTGTGGCTGGCAAGGGGGACGCATGTGTTTTAACTGTGGAGTTACAGTAGCTTCTTGCATGTTACTTTCCTTATGAAGCCCTCTATGGAGCTTTATCTCAAGACAGAGCTCATCTCCAACTGTGAGAAAATTTGAGTATTCAGAAAGTCATTCTCCAAGTGTTTTGGGTAGCTTGGGTTTTAACATGTCACTATACACTTGACTTACAAACTGAACTTTGGTTAACTGAACCTTACTCCTTTTGGGAAAACATTTTGGAGCAAGGAGCTGGGTCAAGGGAATCAGCAGTAAAGATGGTGACTAAATATTCAGTTGCCTATGAACATGGGAAAGACATATATCATTTCAACTGGCCCAGCAGGAAGGTGTACAGTGACACTGTCTTAAGATCAGATAGAATCATAAATACTTTCAAATCTATAACTTTCCCATCCTATGGATTTCCTTAGGGTTTGCCTCCCTGGTCCTTTCCCTGGTTGACCAGGTGTGGTGTGGTTTGGAAATGCTGATCTGAACCTTAAGGAGAAAATGGTTCTAGTGTTGGGAATGCTCCTAAGGGCCGGAGAGAAGATAGTAGCACTGACCTTATTGATTTCATGTGGGACATGCGAACTGGTCTCCTTGAGCCTGGAGATTGAGCTGTGACATAGCCCCCCTATTACAGCCATCAATGTATTGAAGTTCTGTAGCTGGTGGAGTTTCTGTGACACAAGAGACAAGATAGCAGAGTTATTGTACATGTGAATTATAAGGGGAGTTTACAGGCTGACTCTTGTCTCTGCCACGAGTCTTCCTTATACCCATCAAAGACTAGTAATCAAGAATTGCACTTTTCTGTTTCTCTCTCCCTTTCAGCTGAATTCCAGATGAGTGGATCCTAAATTAGCAAGGTGTCACATCTCCCTCCCTTTGCTGTAGCTGATCTGTGACCACCATCTAAATCAGTGGTGTCCAAGAATCACCCTGAGTATTTGTTGAACTCAAAAACTGTTAAACCCAAACCAGACATTCTGATTCCCTGGATCTGGGATGGGCTTAGAGATTTCTACCTTTAATGAATATCAGAGTAGGTGGTCCAGGTACCAAACTTTGAGCAACACTAGTGTGTATCATCCAGAGTTGGAAAAATATCATTAAGTATAATGTTTTATTCATTTACCCCAGATTTATCAGTTTGTTTTATTCTTGAGCATAAGGAGTTTGTCTTTAGGCAATGTTCAATGCCTGAAGGCATAAGAAGGGATACAGAAGCTGGAATCTCTACCCCTTAGACATTAAATCCAACTAATGCAGCATGAGCTCCAAGACCTAAGAAAACCCAGGCTGGTTTGGCTCCAGCAAAACAGAACTTCCTTGACTTTTGCCATGTGGGCCAGATTTGCGAAAAAAAGGTAAGCATCTTCTGAAAAATGTTAAAAAGATCTACATGTGAATCCGGATCCTGAGATGGCCTGTATGGCCCTCCACATTGTCCTTGGGTGAGAAAATTTAAAAATCACACCTAAATCAGGGGACAGTTGAAGCACATAAGGCCCTATATGGTTCAGGAAGAACAGCTCAAACCCATAGAGTAGGCTGGAAAGAAAGGGAATGGATGATTTAACTCAGAGACCAGGCAAAAATCTTAACCCACTCACCTGAGCCACATGGATGAACTTGATGAAAACTTCTGCCCTGAGCTGCGGGGTGGGGCGGCTGAGAACCATCAGTTGTACCCACTGGGAGATGCCATTGCACAGGGCAATGGATCGCTCCATGGTGGGGTTCTCCTTCACACAGCTATTTACAAGGTAATTTTGATAATCAGAGAACTGGGGGGAAAAAAAACAACCATCAGGACTGTGCACTGGTATTCTGGGAAATCTGAGGGACAAGTCAGCTCTGCTCAGTAGTAGATGGGACATGCTATGGGACAGACAAACTTGTATCCTCCCCTCCTACATCTTTGACATGAGGCCAAAAGGAATGATGGGAGGGAAGTCACATCATGGCCCCTCTACATGAAAATTAATTAAGCATCAGTGGATAAGTACACACCCTAATTAATCTAACTGTTGTTTTTGAGTGTATATTGTTTGTGTCTCCTCTAGATTCTAAAAACACTGTAGAACTATCTCACCATTAGTTCTGGCTCTGCTGCAAAATTTGAAAAAGATAATTCCCTTCACAAAAACAAATCTTTACCAGCTATTTTCTTTTCTTAAAAATGTGATAATAAAATCTCCCCTATTTAGGACATGAAGTTATCTCAATCAAACAAGATAATATATGAAAGCACTTCAAAAAGCACTTCTAACTTTTTGAAGTGCTATATACATGCAAAGTGGTGCTAATAGGATAATTATTATCTCATGCTAAAACAAGCCTGTTTGGATTTTCTTCCGCTAACTTGAACAGAGGCCAAAGGAAAGGGGTACATGAGACGTGGTTAACTATATATTCAGTGACCATAGTTTCCCAAACAAAATAATGGCATTTTCTGTGGTTTACAACAAAACAGCATATGTGAAACTGGAAATGTCCTGGAAGATCTGGTATGTGATTCCTGTAGCCATTATGTCCCTGTCATAAGAGTCTTTCTGCTCACACATTGTAGCCAAGAGGGAGGAATGGTCTGTTTTCTTCCAACACTCCCATGGGAGTCTTTGGTGCTATGCCCAGTCTGAACTCTTCCCAGTGAAAGCAGGTGTGGCCACGTGGCATAACCACAGGATTTGAGGGAAAGATCTAAGAGCCAATGAATTTACCACATTGCCATTCGTTTGCCACAGAGATGGTGGCAATTCCTGAGAAGTTGAAGCTGCTATCATCTGGGTCCTGAGTCAATGATCAGCCCCTACTGACCCGTGTTAGACATGTCCCATGTTACTTAGAGTGAAAAAATGAATTTTTCCATTGTTAACCATTGAGATTGCATGTGTGTGCATGTGTTGAGGGGTGTTACGGCAGTACGCCTTAGTCTTGCCTTAAGAGTAGTAAATAACACCAATGAGAAGCAATGAGGTTACAATACCAATGAGATTATGTAACCTAAATAAAAGAGCTGTAAATTAACAAGGTAACCATTTTACTGTGTGGTGATTGCTGATGGGTAGAGAAATCTGAGTAGGACCAAAATTACTCCTTTAAGGAGACATAAGAGAGACATAGAAACCAAAAGTGTTGGGCTGCAGATAAAAAACACACTTGTCTGAAACAAAAGTTGCCATGATTCATTCCAATGAATAGCCTCCCACTGAGAGACACCATCGCATCCCCTGGTTGTTGCTGCTGTTTTTAAGAATTAGCCCCATAGGCTCATCCCTGCTAAAGAATTGCAACAAACAAGGTTCTCAGCAGAGATAAATTTCCCTTCAATCTCAGTTGGAAAGAAAAGTGGGAAAACTCTTTAGGACTATGTCGGGAAAACAAAAAAATTCCCTGAAATAGTCTTCTATAAAGCAAATCAAACCACTCAAAAAGAAATGAAGGTTCAAACTTTTGTTTTCAGTCCGAAATAGAACACTTGTTCAACCCCCAGGGAGATGGGCTAGGATTGCTTGTTCTGAACTGATTTTTCACTTCTGCCTGCAATGATCTGAACACTGGCATCAAACAGATGTCCTGCAGGCCTGACTGAACAGCCCTGCCAGTTTCTCCCCAGCAGAGCTCAGATTTCCCGTGTGATAAATAACCCTTTTCAGTGGCTCTCAGCTGTGCCTGGTGTCCTGCCCCGTGATAGGGGAGGCGTTGCCAAATGGAAATTCCCCAAGTGAAGCTTTACAACGGGGCTCAGTGTCTGGGGGTGCAGGTGAGGGGACTGGGACTCCAAGAACAGGTTAATACTTGGAGACTTATTTCTAAGTAGAATGGAGGGTTCCTGGCTGGCTGGCCAAACAACTATGTTGACAACAGAAGTCTTGTCAATATAATGGGAAAGAATGAAATAACCTTTGTAACCTGGTTGGCATGTCTCTTTCCAGATGCAACTAGGCTCAATAAATTGGTGCTGAGTGACTAGGAGATGTGGTCCCAGCCCTGGCTCTTGACTCTGGTAAGCTGTACTGACTTTGCTCAAATCAGGCCTCTAGGCCTCCTCTCTCATCTGGGGAGCACAGGTCATTCTAGAATACACTGGGCATCTTAGTACTCCCTAGTTTTAGAGCAAAGCTGAAAACTGTACCTGCTGGCAGGAGTGGAGCCTGAGTGGAGTAATGGTGTCTGTTCTTAGGAAGGCGTATTGGCCAATGAGGGTCTGTTAGCACCTGAAATGTTGACAATTTCTCTTGTATGGAAACAATGTGCTCTGGTATGACACATGAGGATGCACGTGTGTGCCCTCCCTGTTCCTGGCAATATATTGAAATCTCTCTCCAGCACCACTTCTTTTGGCTCTGCTTAGTTGTCCCAGTAGCAATGATAAGGTCAGCACAGTTTATCTCTAGAAGTATGATGACTGCTGGGCCATGTCAGCACCACTCTAGGGGTTTAGGGATATTTGGGTTAGGCTAGGAGTATCTTTTCTACTTTAGGATTTCCCAGAATCATTCAAAGCCTACCCTTGAATGAATTTAAACTTCTAGGGAGACATATCCCAGTTTCATTTTTTTAGGAAGATATAAAAGAAGTTCTGGAAGCCTAATGATCATCGTGCGGGAGGGTGTGTGTGCGTATTTTCTCGCATATGCACGTGTGCAAGGTCCCTGCGTGCCCAAAGTGCATTACTGGAGCGAGTGTTGGGGTGGGGTGAAGTGGGTATGGAGGATGTGAGACGGAAGCACAGCAGAAGCAAACCAGGGGAACTCAGATGTACTGATTTTCCAGACTGTATGATGGTTTACTGGGAAAGCCTACCAGCACTGCTAGGGCCCCTAGTGTTAGTTAGACAGACTGTTTGCTCAATTTCTCTGCTTATTTTTAGAAATTTCCCAGAATAGGTTTTCTCCTGCCCCTTGGGTACATACTGATATCCTTCGAAAGGACTTGAACTCAAGGTAGGTGAGGTGCTCAGATAGCTCTTCTGGTTCCAGATGGTCAAAGAGCAGGGAGACTTTCCGTTTCTTGCTGGTATTTGATTTTATCCTTTGGGTGAGTTTCCTGGACCAGTCACGGGCGTTGCTTTTGTGGGTAATTGGGAGAGAGAGAAGACAAGGAGAAAGAATAAATTCCAATTACTTTTTGCAAGTATATCCACTGGTTTCGTCCACAGAATATGCAAAGCACCGAGAGCTTTGCTTGGCTAAAATGATGCATTAATAGAATTTCCCCAGATCAGGGTTTTTTTTTTTTTTCCTGTGGCAGCAACCAGAAAGCCTTGCTGGTTTTCAGGTAGCCTTTTGAATATATCTTGGAGAACAGGGTAAATGAGTTTACTCTGAGGCAATGGAAAGAGAGTTTCAGGCACTGGTCAGTTTCCTTGCCTTTGGTCCAGGCTCCCTTGTGTATTATGCCTGCTCTCCCAATGCTTTTGTTCCTGAATTCTCGTGAGAGAGATAGGAGAGTGGAAATCTGAAGGCAGTGGGACAGTTCTTATGCCAGAAGAGCTCAGAGAACCACAGAGAGAAGACATCGTGCTGGAAGGAATTGTGTATAGGAACAAGTGATCGCCCAGGGCAGATTTGAGTCATTTTCCTCCACTGTCCCCAGCCACTGAAATGACCAAGGAAACCTAGCTGACCCTAGAGTGCCCCTACTCCTCTAGTTCCTCATAAGCAACCCATGTGTCTTTTATGCGGTTTCAATTTCCCCCAACAAGACGGAAGCAGAGGAAAGCTGCCCAGTTTTGAAAGGCAGTAACTTGGAAATCTGTGTGTCCCAAATTGGTATCCCTAGATACCTTGCCTCTGATACAAGAGTTCTGTGATCAAATGAGCTTAAGAAATGCAACAGATTCTGTAGCCATCTTGATCGGTGAGTATATTACAAACTCTAAAATGCATTGTAAAAGCGAAATTTAACAGGTTATTTCTGAAGTACATCTGGTCAGATAATACCCCACAGATTATAATTCTGTGGAAAATATTGGTACAGGAAAGTCAGCTAGGAAATATTAGGACAGGAGACCTAAGTTTGACAACTGTTCTGTCTCTAAATTCTCCATCTTCAAAATGAAAAACAAATTTTTACTTTGAAAACTCTCTTTAACCTTTCAAGATATATAATTCTAAGCAAAGAAGTACACAGAATCCAAACTGATGAACAGCCTTGTGTGGGGCTCTGGGATGTGATTTTGAAGTCACTTCTATGTAGGCAGGGCATCGCGCATTGGAAATGGGCATCGCGCATTGGGAACAGGCCTCTCAGTCCAGTTTCAGCTCTGACACAAGCTTACCTAGCTGTGTGACCACAGACTGGTCAGTTTCCCAGTCAGAAAACCAGGACTTTAGATGAGTTGATAACTAGAATGTTTTTTCATTGCTAGAATTATAAATCTTAGGGATTTGTGCTATTGCAAAATAACATGGCCATGCTGTGAAAATTTTAGCATACAATGTGTGTGCACTCCTCCCTCAAACTAGGAAGGACATTCATTTTCCTGATTCAGCCAATCTAAGAAATAATAAAAATATTCCTGAGATCCCTTCCCAGCTCTAGAAGTTTAAATGATTTTCACAGACATCCGTAGATGTTATAAACCCTCTGTTGATTACGTTTCTAAGCAGTTCTTTCCCCATTTACAAGTTCAGGGTGCCTCCTGCATTGACTAATAAAGGAGCATGAATCCAGTGTTGTACTTTCAGTTTCTCAGGAGGTGGATACATTTTAAGTGAGGTCTTGCTACCTGATTTCTTTTTGACTGGGATTCACTTTTGTCCCACTCTTGGATGTTAATTACCTATGGCTCAATCATGGGTTCTGTCTGCTTTCCTTTTAAATGTCCATTGTACTCTCTTTTATTTTTTATTTGTTCTTTTTAGTTATACGTGTCAATAGAATGTATTTTGATATATTATACATACGTGGAATGTAACTTTCCATTCTTGTAGTTGTACATGATATGGAGTTACACTAGTCACTATTCATATATGAACATAGGATAGTTATGTCTGATTCATTTTACTGTCTTTCCTATTCCCATCTCCCCTCCCTTCCCTTCATCCCCTTTGTCTAATTCAGAGTCCTTCTATTGTTCCCTAACCCACCCCACCCCTTTATGTTGTGTTAGCATTTGCATATCAGAGAGAACATTTGGCCTTTGGGTTTTGTGAGATTGGCTTATTTTACTTAGCACATACTCTCCAGTTCCCTCCATTTACTGGCAAATGCTATATTTCATGTTCCTTTATGGCTGAGTAATATTCCATTGTACCAGCATTCATGGTGAGGCAATATGAACCCACTTCTCTGAGATCAGAGCGCTCAGCAGGGAAGGGGAGCAGCCATCTCACAGGGACAGAAGCCTAGAAAAGCAATCTGGGTCATAGGAGGAAGATGGTTTAAAAAAAAAAAATCACGAAAACCTTGACACTCACATTTGAGTTGTGTCAATTAGGCGGCAATGTAGCTCCTCACCATTGGCTTTTACCAGTTCCTGAAACTCCTCCATGGTGTTTGTCAAGCTGGCATCCGTTTTAAACATGATCCAGAATTCTGTTATCCAGTACCTATGGGGAGGGAGTTAAAAACCACAATCCAACACTGAAGCCAAGGACTCATAATTGGGTGGGCTCCCAAGGGAATTTTTGATCACAAGGAGGATTCAGAAAAAGACAGAGGCTGATCCGTCCTACAGTGAAGTAGGTGGGTGGGGACAAGGAGGGACCTAAACCATCCAGTCAAAGTCTTCAGTGTCTCCATACACAGAATGCTCTGACAAGACAGGTAAAGTAGCCAGGACATAATCATGCATCATTATGTGCATCAGTTAATCACAAAGTGAAGAACTGCAGATAAACCAAATGTCCAAAAATGGAACAATGTATCTGTAAAATATACTTTATAACATATTAGAATGTTATATGGTCATGAAAAAACAGTGTTTTTAAGAAGTCTTTAATGACTATAGAATATACTGACAATAGAAAGCTAAGTGAAAACTATAGAATATAAAACTTTATGTATTTTTTAATCTCAAACCACATTTTAAAAATCTCTGTAGAAAAAAAAGGAAATATACCAAAATAGGTAGTTGGATGTGATGACTATTATTTTCTAAATTTTTTAAATGTTGTTCAGTTTTATTTTTTATAAGTAGAAATAAAAACAAGACATCCTTATCTCTGTGTATCTTCCTTAAGCCACTTGATGCCAAAATACTGTAAAATTGAAAAAAAAAATGATATGAAGTTTAAGTTCAGGTATACCAGAAGAAATTCACTGTGCACTCTAGAGGCAGTTCTAGTAGCAATCCTTGGTCTTTTTGGTCTGTCCAAGGGGCTTTATGGATGGTGGGGAGGGGAAGGGCAGGGAGGAAAAGAAGAACTACAGCCTTTCACTTCAGCTCCCCTCCACAGAGTCTCCATGCAAGTGCAGAAACATTACCTTACAAAATAGCAGATCTTCAGGCAAAGCCCTGGTGAGTTCTTTGCCAAGGCTTCCTTATAGGTAGGGCTGTGGTTAAGGGAAATGGAAGCCTCTGTCACAGAAACCAAATAACCTCCATCTTTGAAAGTATTTACTAAAACAACTGCCTGAAATAAGGGGCACATGACCTCTTCCCTGTGCCCAAGAGGAGTCCAACTGCATCAACAAGCTAAAATGAGCCTTTTATCTTTTAAAATGTAACGGATTCATGCAGTGAAAAAAATTGTATAGTGAATTAGGAAAGGAAGACATATATGTTCAAATATATTTTCGTGATAATTAAGAACAATACTGTGAAAATTATAATAAATAAACCTAGAGGATGCCACTAGACTGACCCAGTAAACTGTGATGTCCAATCAGACAAAGCTATGGGCATAATCCAATATACAACTGGAGATCACCTTAAAGAGTGTTGCCATTCTGAAGATTCCAAAATATGAAAGAACAGAAAAATCTCATCGAGTTTGCTTATCTGTAGAGATAGATACATGGAAAGTGTGTTCATTTATTTTAAGAGTCAAAGAAATGAGAACTTCAATCCAGTGAGGAGCCTGAGGCAGGAGGTTCTGCCATCTTCCCTCCATCAATGGATTTAGGAATCAGATTATGTGGGCTGTGTATTTCACAAGCCTGGACATGGTGGTGCACGCCTGTAATCCAAGCAATTTCAGAAGCTGAGGTGGGAGGATGGCAAGTTCGAGGCTATACTCAGCAACTTTGAGGCCCTAACTCAAAAAATACAAAGTACTGGAGATGTAGCTTCATGGTAAAATGCCCCTGGGTTCAGTTGCCAGTACCAAAAAAGCAAAAACATAATCACTTCAATCTAAGATTGAGTGGCTTCCAGCTGAGCTCAGGAGAGGAGTGCAGTGAGCAGCCAGGAAAGATCAAAAGCCAAGGATAGTCAAAACCATATTTAGAGTTAAATATAGAAAAGCCAAGGATAGTCAAAACCATAGTGCTAATGTTTATTAGGAAGGCATTTGTGCATTTTGAAACTTCATATGTTTTAGAGCATATTAGAATGATAGCCTTGAAATTTCCATTAGGAATGTTTTAAGTGCTTCACATTTGTGGTTTTAAATTGAAATTTAAATAATTTTATGCATAGTTTTGAAACATGTAGACAATGCTAGCTTTACTGTTTATAACTTTAATTTATTAGAGTTGTAAATAATTACTTAGAATTCAGGGAGATATCTGAAGCACTTAAAAATAATATAAAATGTAAAATGAGTACCTGTAGTTTAAGACCATTTAAAGTATTCAATCAACATTATTCAAATTAACCAAACATTTTTCAACTGCTTGCTGACACGTACTAGACTTATACAAAAATAAGATATGCAAGCTCAACTTGAAAACCTAAAGGACTATGGTTATGAAATTTATAACTTTAATAAAGTGACTCATAATTTTAAAAATTGAATTTTAATAGGCTTACTGCCTATTAAAATATGTCCTTGAGATTAGAAAACAAAACAAAAACCACACAACCCCCCTACATCAACAAAGGTAATTAAGACAAAAGTACAAGCAACTGGCAAACTTCATGGAATAAGAGGTTCTGGTGCCCACCTTTCTACAGGCGTGAAAGGCAGAATCGAGAATGAGATGGTTTTATATTTCTTTATGCCAAATTAATTGCTTTGAAGGAGGGATTTAAGCACAAAACACATTTTAGATAAATATGTCTTAAGAGTCTATATTTGTAATATTCGGCTAGTTGAATTATTTTCTTTCTTTGTTAAAGGGGAAGGGACAAAAGACATGCTTCTCTATTAAAATAACAGATATACGAAATCAATATGGTGGTATTTGCCTTCCTCCTGGTTGTTTCTTATCCTCCCTTCATGTCTACTGACAGCACATGTAGTCTGCATGTGGTTCTGTGTCATTGTACATATCCAGTCTGTCTATCTAATGCCTAGCCTGGAGCCACTCTGAATGTTGTCTGGAAGGCTGGAAGCTGCCTGAGGTCTTCAGAGCTCAGAAACCATGATAGAGGCAGTCCCTGCAGGCCAGGCAGAGCTCCCTCTTTCCAACTCTAGGAGATGAAACAAACTTAGTAAGAGGCTGAAGCTCTGCTACTCTGGCATGAACTGCAGGGTTTGCTGGAAGCCTCAAACTCTGGCCCCCCTTTCTTCTTTTCACAGCTCCTACTATGGCCAGAAAGCACCAGCACATGCTGACCTTACTTTTTAGGCATCTAAACTATTCAATGCATGTTTTAAAATCAATCTCTCTCTCTCTCTCTCTCTCTCTCTCTCTCTCTCTCTCTCTCTCTCTCTCACACACACACACACACACACACACACACACACAATGAAAAAGAGGAAACCATCTGAGTTTATTTAACTAAAAATTCTCTTACTTCCAGGTGAAAGAACAAGGAAACCAAGAGCGAAGGAAAACATCATTTTGCTGTCAGTGTTTAACCTTTCCATTACAGAGTCTTCTTTCATACTGCCTGTCTTAGAATCCTGTCTTCCACCCTAGCTTACTTTTTAAGCTAAGCAAAGCCTAGATATCTAAAAAGTTTGGGTATAAAGAAAAAAGTTATCCCAGTGCTTTGTGTCCATATGGTGCAACATTGATTGCACCCTATCATGAGACACTAGGCTCAGAGAAACAAAGGTGAGTAAGCTTCGTCCCTGCCCTTGGGGGGCAATCTAGTGTAGGGATGATTTGCAAATAGGTAAGTGTATGTGCTTTAAAATATACTTATATTGCTCTTAAAGTAATTTTGCAGTACCCTTGCAACCTTTCATATTACTAACAACAATCAAGCCACAGCAGCTAGACTCGGTTACTTGACACAGTCATTAGCCAGAGCGCACAGTATTACATGCAAAGCTTAGAGACAGAAGATCAGGTAGATACCTTTAGTTAGTTCACAGAATAAAAACACTTCACACTTTCTGCAGTCACAGATGAGAAGCTGAAAAGCTTCTAGGCAGATTACCTCCAGGCTAGAGGGAGACACATTTTGACTGAAGCAATACAAAACTAAAGTCAAAGCAGTTAAATAGATTTTCAATCAAGAAGACTATCTTCAACCACCACAAGTATTTTTAAAAGAAGAGAAGGGCTGGAAAAGTCAAGGAAAGGCTCCACAGAGAGGGTCTTGGAAGGAAAACATTTAGCTAGGCAGAGGGAAAAATGGGTTTCCAGGCCCAGGCATCTCAGAGGCCCCTTAAATCTGGAGTATTGAGGAATCCAGGGTAGAGGGAAAGGGGCTCCTGGGAGAGCTGTAGGATGCGACAGGGAGGGTGGATGGTGTCAGAGGCAAGATGCAGCAGGGAGTGGGGGGAGGCTCACACTGTGGAGGCATTTTGCAGGCAAGTTGAGGAGTCAGACATGAACCCTAGTAGTTGGCAGAGGCCCCAAAGCAACAGCCTGCCCAGTTTGTTTTTAGGATGTGAGTTAATATCCAGGTGTGGATAATAACCAGACGGGAGAACCATATAGATGAGAAGACTAGTAGGGGGCAGAGGTCTGGGATTGTGACAGTGGGGACCTGGACGGGGATGGTGGTATAGAAATGAAGGGACGAGAGCAGAAACAGGTCATTTCTGAAGCAGAAACCCTGGGACTGGGTGGCAGATTCTGTAGGAGGTGAAAAGCAGGGAGGAGTCAGGACTGCTCCTGATGTTTCTGGTTTTGGCAACTGGATGGATAATGACACCACCACCTGAAACTGAAAATGAAGATACTGGTGCCAGTGTGGAATATAATAAGACTGTGGGTAGTTGGGAGTGGTAGTGGTGAGCAAATGAACATATTAAGGTGTTTGGATATGTTAAGATTGAAGTGTGGGCACGAGAAACTAGTCCAGACCTTCAAAAAATGGCTTAGTTTACAGAAACATAAATTGGAAGAAGTCACCATCAGCACAGAACCACCATGGTGGACATCCTGGGGAGAAACCGCCCATAGAAAGGCAGTCAAGTGAATGGAACACTGGGATGCTATCCTAGGATTAAAGTGGTGCTCAGAGAAGAGGCCAGATGAGATGCTGGAGAAGGCACAGCCTAAAGACAGAGACCCAGGAAGGTCCTGTCCAGGAGCCCTGGGGGAGAGCTGAAGAGAGCTGAGGGTTGCAGGCATTGGTGATGCCTACTACTTCTGGAAGGTCAGTGTAAACAAGGATGGGGAAAAGGCCCCTGGGCTTAGCAATTGGGAGGTCACTGCACTGGTGACATCAGAGAAAAGTATGAGTCCTGGGGTAGGCGCCATAGTTGACTTACAGAGTGCGTAGGAGTAGACAGATTGAAGATAATGCAGACTGCTTTAAGACGTTTCTGCATCAAATTTCTAACAATAGAATGAAGGGGTGGCAAGGTTAAGAGTTTAGTTTTTTAGGTTAAGGACACTTGAATGTGTGGCTCAGTTAATGGGCAGGTGCCCCTGAAGAGGCCAAGTTTGGAAGTACAGGAGGGAGATGAAATAACTCACAGGGTGACGGCAGGGCAGAGGGGGCCAACTCAAGGGCAGCACCCAGTGCATCCCGAGGGTGAGCACCCGGGGTACAATTTAGTTCAGAGGCTCTCAAACAAATTTTTAAGGAGGAGTACATAATCACTGACACTGTTTACAATCACTCATGCATGGAGTCAATAAAAAGCAGACAGACTTTGAGTCGGTGTTACTGTGGTTTTAAAATTCTCTGCAGAGGAGGCTTCCCACTTATTACCTGTACCTCTCATTATGGGAACCTTTCCCAACAAACACTACACCCTTGGCACGCTCTTAGAAACACCACCTTTGAGATGAGAGAGAAAAATTTCTGAGCACATTTAGAGGAGGGATTCAATTTGACCTTTTTTTGTTTTGTTTTGTTTTTTGATGGTGCTTAGGATTGAACCCAGGGCCTCATACAAGCTAGGGAAGTACTCTACCATCAGGTTCATCCCCAGACCTTTCAATTTTCATTTTTGAAATAGGGTCTTACTAAATTGCCCAGGCAGTAATCTACTTGCCTCAGCCTCCAGAGTCACTGGAGGCATGGGCCACTGCACACAGCAATTTTTAAGTTTTAGTATTTTTTTTCTGTGTGTGGCAACATGAAATGGGGAATTAAAGCAATGAAGGATTACAGCAGCAGTCACAAGTCATGACTCAGTCCCAGGGGCTTGGGCCTCAGGTGCTAAACAGTCTCACCTCCTCTACAGCCTTTATTTCTTGGGGGCTACATCCCCCAGTGTCATTTGTGAGAAGGAGGAGGAGGTGGGTCCTTCTCTGCCCTGCTTGGTTCACACCCCACGGGAAGGCTAACATTCATCAGGGCTTGCTTGGTGCACAGTCAATGTCTCTGCCAGAAGCAAGAAGGCACCAGCAGATTCTCCAGATGCTTTTGCCTTGGGAAGCTTTCTCCAGAGCCTGGGAAGGCTGAGAACTGGGCAGGGAAGCCAGAAAGGAATGCATCATTTGAAATGTGCTGTTGTCCTTGTCAGTTTGTTCAGGATAAACATGAATTTTGACTACTCTACAGGAAAAGTAGTTTTTACTTGCAAGAGATACTGAAGGTGACCATGTTTGCACCTTTGACCACCCCCAGAGAAATCAGCATCAGTACCAGTATCCCACTCAATGCATGAATGAACATGATACACAAATGAATACATGAATGAATATGCACACACTCCATATAAAAGGAAATGGACATTTCTCACTCAGGCTATTCCAAACCAAGCAAAACGAAAGCATGCTTCAAATCTCCAGCTACTTTTGGAATAGATCCCGTTCTGGCATTCCAGTCACTATGTTAAAGGATATAGGGTCATAACTTTTTGCAGCAGGTCCGCAGAGGAGATGATGATTCGGTGCATGGTCAGCATGACTTGCAACAGCTGGTTACTTCGACACAAGTTCCCATCTGCATCTGAAAATATAAAGAGCAGCATCTGAGTCAGGTCCAGTCAGGCATCTGGTGGACCACCTGACACCCTCCTCTTCCACTGCTCTGGAAGCTGGCCAGAGCATGCCTCAGGCTCAACCCTCCTTCCTGGCTTTTCTCTCTTCCTGCTGTACTCTATCTTCTCCCAAGTGTCCATTTTGATGCTCATTAGTCCCCTTGCCCCAAAGATGATAAAATCTTGAAAAAAGGATAAAATCTACATCAATACACCTAAGTGTCTGTTGAAAACAGAGGCAGTCCAGGTTTTGTGAGGCCTAAAGTTCACATGATGCAGGAGAAACCTCCCTAGGCTCATAACGAGAAAAGTTACAGTATAAATTGATTGTAATTAAAATACCTTACTTTCGAAACATTTTACAAAAATGTATGATCACATGAATAGGGCCCTCCCACAACCTTAGAAGTGAATCATGCAAATGAAGAGCCCTAGTTTCATAGTTAATGTGCCTCTGGATTGAAATAAAGGAGACAGATTAGAAGCAAACATGACATTGGAAGGTTGTCAGTAGATTACAGGTATTCATGTTGATTTGTATTGAAGAGCTTGGTTAGCTGGGTTTTCCAAATCCCACCTGGTAACAGATGCATTCTATACACCAGCATTTGTGGTATGAAGTGTCAGGGCCAGAGCTGATTACTTATTGCCATATCTACTCTCTGGTCTTCAGCATGAATCACATCACTGGGGCTCCCTTACCAGCTGGGTTCAGCCATTGGGAAACAGGAGCAAGAGATGGGAGGGAAGTCAAAATATGTCTTTCTCATTTCCTCTCTGCCTTGACAGCACATCCTTGATAGTAGCTACATGCAATTGGATGAATAATCACATGGGTTGGCCCTTCCTTCATGACTACAGCTCTGGCTGGGATATCAAACTGTTTATCTCTTTGACCCTTAGTCTAAGGGTAGTAATGACTTAACTGTTGACAGTTTCTAATGCAACATCTTTTAATACTTCTTCATTTACAGAAATTAAGAGAATTCTATTCCTAGCCAGGAATTTGAATGGTTCAATGAAAAGAATCAAATGAAAGAATATACATGAATTGTTTGTCATCTGTATTGCTATTTAAAATATTTTATAGAGGTTAGGCCTGGTAATCATAGAAACTTGGGAGGCTGATGCAGGAGGATTGCAAGTTGGAAACCAGCCTGGGCACCTTTGAAAGACCCTATCTCATGATAAAAAATAAAAAAGGACTGGGGATGTAGCTCAGTGGTAGAGCACCCCTGGGTTCAATCCCCAGTAAGCCCCCGGCCCCCACAAATACACTATAGAAAAGGGGTTGTCATTTTTATTTTCTTTCACATTTATCAAATTGTAAACAAAGGACATAGAACATTTGGGCCCAGAAGTTCTGATGCCTCAAATGAAACCTAAAGTTCATTGAGAAAACACTGTAAACTGACAGGCTCCTCCCTCCCTATTGCCAAATCCACCAACTTACTGGTGCCCTTCCTACTGCCCTTTCCTTTACCATGGAAGACCTTTCATAGTGGAAGACCTTGTATAGTGCTCCAGTCTCCTCTCCTCAAGGACGCTGGTGCTGCACCTGGCCACCTTCTCTCCTATAATCCCAATACTTTTCTCTCTACTGGTTTACTTCCACTGGCATTCCATGTACCCCTGTATCTCCCACTTGAAACAAAATGAAATAAAAACAGACCCATAACTCTCCTCCTAGTCTCCAGCTTCCTCTGCAGCTTTCTGTTTCCTTTCAGCAAAAACTCACTGTCACTACTTTCTTACCTCCCATTTACTCTTCCATCATTCCACTGTGACTTATTCCATTCCATTATTCCATTAAATATTTTCTTTCTAAAGTTACCGATGCCAAAGGTTACTTCATTGCCAAATCCAATAGTCATACCTCTGTTCATGTTACTTCATGATTCAATTGCATTCAACCCCAAAACACAACCCAAAGTTGACAACTCTCCTTCCTGGAACACTTTCTTCCCTTGGCTTCCATAACATCACATTCTCTCACTTCTCTCTCACGCTCTTCTTCTGTCTCCTCTTCCTCTGCTAAGCTCTTAAATGTCATCATGCTCTATGGCTTAGTCTTCCCACTTCTTTTTTTCTAACATTTAAAAAAATTGTTTAAACTTCTTAAATTTTAAATTTAAAAGTCAACTTTTTTTTTCTAGTGAAATCATCCAGTCCTATGACTGAAATACCAGCTCTATGCTGACAACTGCCCAAGTTACATATCTTCAGCCATGACCACCGAATTAGTATGCCCAGCAGCCTACCTGGCAAATCCACTTGGAAGTGCAAGTTCAAACTTAACTCACCCAGACAAAATCAGGACTTTCTCCTCCCAATTCATTCCTCCTCCATTTGTCCTCATCTCTAGAAATGGCACAACCAACCATCTTCAGAGTTGCCCAACCTAAAAACCTGGGAGTCATGCTTCATTTCTCATTTTCCTCATATCTAATCCATCAGGAGGTCTTGATTTTACTTTCAAAATATATCTCACTTGTCTCCATCCTTGCCATAACCCTCATTCAGCCACCATGATGCAATGAATTGACTTCCCTGCTTCTACTCTGGTTCACCTACAGTCCATTCTCCACACAGTAGCTAGAAGTGAGCTCCTGAAAACTATAAATCAGGTCATGTGCTTATATTAATATACATTAACAAATTCCATTATATTTGGTATAAAACAAATCCCTTACTGTAGCCAGCAGAGCTTCACTTATTCTACCTCTTTTAATATTACCCACTTCATTTTTTTTAACCACATTGCTCCTCTCCATGCATCTGTGTATACCTCATATTCCAAGCTTATTCCTACCTCGTGGTCTTTGCATTTGCTATTCCCCTCCACATAGTCTTTCTTCCCTTGATTCATTCATGTTATGTAAATCTCAATCATCACATCCCCAGAGAGGTCTTCCTTAAACTACCTAAGGTACCCATTCTCCTGCCTGAGTTTCTTCATAGCACTTATGTTCTAAAGTTATCTGGTTATTTTTTATTTAATTTTTAATTTACAGAATTTCAATAGAACACAAACTTCATGAAACCTAAGTCTTATCTGTTTTTTCCCACAACCTATTTCTAAAACCTAGAACAGTACCCACAATGGTATGCACTCTAGGCATGTGTTGAGTAGATGAGTGAACTCATTCATGCCTCTCTGGAAACTGAGTTTGCTTGTAATTAGTTATATCATTGACTGTGTATAATATACACACTTATTTTCTTCTCAGCCACAGTTTTCAAAAGAAACTCAAAATTACAATTTAGTAAAACATTTTAATGAAATATACATGGTTATAGCTGTGTAAATCTTCCATTAATTTTTTTGTACTTATACTCTGGTGAGGTATGTCTAGCATTGCTTTGTCTGTTTTCTGGCCCACATAATTTCTGTGATAATTGTCTCTTGCCACAAAATACTGCAAAACAAACTATGCCAAAATTCAGTAACTTAAAATAGCAACCATTTATTTTTGCTGAAGTGTCTCAGTTGGGGGGCAAGTGATACAGGCTGGGCTTTGCTGGCGCACTACTCCACATGTCTCCCAGCTTCCTTGGAGCAGCAGCCTATCAGGGGCAGGTTATTCTCATGATGGCAGGGCACTGAAGGGTAACTAGAAATATCCAAGGCCTCTTGAACTTAGTTTTGGAAGTGGAATGCTGTCACTTCTGCCTCATTCTGTTGGCTAAAGTAAGTCATATTTCTGAATCTAAAGTTGAAGGGAGGGAACTTCAAAGTCACATGGAAGATATCAGGCACAGGGAAGGTAAAAAAAAAAAAAATGGTGGCAAGCATGCAATCAAACCCCCAGAGCTACAGAGGGGTAACTTCTTAATGCGGCATTTGACAATAGTTTTTACAATGTGGACCTCTTCACAGAGATGGCAGTATTTATATTCTTGAATAGTGAAACTGCAATATGCAATACACTTAAAGGTATGCATTAGAATGTTCCCATGTGCTCCATGCACTACAGACACAGGCCCAGGCTTGGTAGGTATGGACAGCACTCAAGACTTGCTATCTCATTTTCCTTTTGTGGTTGACTATAGTACTTAAGAGGAGGCATGACACTTAATAAGCATTGCTGTCATTCACATAGCAATTATCATTACTGAAGCCCTACTTAATGCCAGGGGCTGTGCTAAGGACTTTAACAATGTTATTTATAATTCTCAGAAGACCCTGCAATGTTGGCTATTCACTGTTTACAGCTGAAGAAATTAAGCCATAGTGAGGTTAGGAAAGGGACAATGAATGGCAGAGTTAGGATTTAGCCCTAGGTCTGTTTGATTCCAGAACCCCTGCTCTTTCCATCACACCTGGTTGCAATCTGCAGGCCATCTGTTGGGAGAGGGAGCCAAGAATTAAATGGGAGGCTAATGAGGGTGAGTGCTAAGAACTCTTCCAGTCCTTATGACTATAAGAGATGCCATGAGGATCCTGGGTTGGAGCCAAGGCACACTTGGCAGAATGGCCTTTATATTCTGGTGAATTCTTGAAAGTTTTGGTCACTTGGTCCTGATCTTGAAAGTTGCCTTTAGGAGGAGAACCCAGGTGGCCATGCCTAAGAGTCACAATTGTTCACACTTTACCTTTACCTTGTGCCTCTTCTAGAGTTCCCGTGACGTTCCCACACTGCAGCTTGTGAGTCCTACCATGTTCTCTGTGGGGGTGAGTGCTGGAAAATGTTCAGACCAGAGGGGATGACTCACTCCACAAGAAGAGACAGAGATGGAGTGAGGGAAAGAGCAAGGAGACTTTCCACGGCTAGTCAGGAGCTCCACTGCCTCTCCCTCCTCGGTTCTTTTTCAACAAGAGAACAGCCCAGTGTAGTCACTTGCCCTCATTCCCACCATCATCTCTTCCCCGCGTGACCATCAAATGCCAGATGAGCTTTTCAAGGTTACATCAAGGTTGCATTCCTTTCCCACCCTCATCCCATACAGTGCATGCCTCTTCCCTTTG